GCTTTTTAAGATAATATCTTAACTGCGAGAGCTGTCTTCGTTAGAGTCCTCGCTGCGGGTGCGCTTACCCTTCGCTTAGGTTGCTCCTATATCTAGGAGCTGTTGCTGTAGGTCTACTATTCGCTGCTTTAAGCGCTTTGCTTTACGCAGTCGATCATTTTCAGCAATGAGGTCCGCTACCATCTAGTCTATGGTGGGCCTAATGGTCTGCCCTAAGGGGCCTTCGCCCGCATCGTCGTCATCCAGTTGCTCGTAATCCTTCTCTAAGAGATTAGAGTCTTCGTTCTCTACTTCTTCGACGATAGGGTTGAGGGGGTTCTCGACTGTTGCCCTAGAGCTGCTCTCTTCCTGCGCACTACGTGCGTGCGACGTTTGCTTCGTGGTCTTTCGAGGTGCCATTGCTCCTTCTGCCTCCTGACTCGGGTAGCCTGATGGTAGAAGAATTAGGAATTGTTAAAGGTGTACTTGGGTAGGCCAGGTAAGTCAGGCAGGCAAGGAGGTATCTTCTTAACAGGAGGAAGCAGCCGTATATTCAATAGCTAATTCTTGCCTTCTGCACTCTAAGGGAGTGCGGGAGGCACTCTTTATCGTAGGCGCACCTCTGGCGCACCAAGTGCGCAGGACAGGCGCGACCCCGTTTCTACTTGGCCCGTGCGCTAGCACGTGCTGTGGCCTGTGCGCAGACTGCGCCACGCAGCCTGCGCCACCAGCACCGCTTCTAGTTCACGATGTGCATCTAATACGCTGTGCGCATACTGCGTACGGCTTGCGCGTAGCCTGCGTCGGTCCCCTTCCTGGGGCGGCGTTACACATACGCAGCTATGCTGCAAAATCATTACTATAATGCTAAACACTAACCCTGCTTCTTCTATACTAGCGACTACGTTCTCCTTTAACTCTATAAAGGTTACTCCTTGCCCGCTTTAGCTGTACTAGGGAAGTTCGGGCTAACATTTACTGGCCCCTTCCAGATCGTCGCCCGCGTTAGTCGATCCGCATACCGGCTACAGCTTCCTGCCGACTAGAAAATCTACGATATCATCGCTTTAAAACACTTAAAACCCGCCCCCTACAACGTTTTCGGCCGCCGTTTTCCCGCGGTTACTCCCGTCGTGGCAGACGCGCCTTTCCGCATCGCTACCTACCAAGACCTGCCCACCGGCCGACGGTACTTGTTTGCAAGGCAGGGCTATAGACAGGAGATGGATAAATGGGTGCCTAAAGATAAGCTGAACGACTAGCAGCGCAAGGCCGCGGAAGACTATGACAAGACCTTTGGACGTGTCAAGGCCATCTTGTAACCACCTGCTCTGCGAGGGCGCAGAGCATCGCGGAAGCCCGGCATGTTGTCACGTGGGCATGTCCCATGCCCCCACCTAGTCACCTAGTCATAGCATAGCCAGCCTGCATCGTTAGATAGCTGCAGGTAGCATATTCATCCAGATTCACCACACCATCACACCATCGGACCGTTTGAAACGAATATTATTCAGGTGGTTTGCGTCACTGCAAGAGTACAAAGCCGCCTATTCTCATGGTCAAACCGACAGAAATGTGAGAGCAAACGCCTGATTAATTTGAAAGTATGGTGTCATCATATGTACCTTGGATGCATTTTTCTTTCAAATCTAGCTCAACATACGATGCAAGCGCCTAGTCATGCCGATATTTCGCTCACAGAATTCATTCTCCCTCATTAGGTCTTCCTCGGGGCGTTCTCACTGGAGAGCCGGCGGGCTTTTCGTCTGCTACGTGAGTTCCCGAGCTTTCCGTCCTCACCGGCTGGCTGGTACTCTTCTGGCTGGAACTCGGGGTTCGAAAAGTGCGCTGTGCTGGACCGAGAGCTCCGGAGAAATCCCGGCTCTGGATTGTTGATATCGATATCGGTTCTCTCGTACTGCCATTTCGTAAAGCGCACCGGATGGGACTCGGCTGGCTCGGGCGTATGTCCACCATGGAATTGCTGTTGATGGTGTGGAGGTAAATGCATTTGACGTTGGGCATGCAGGTGGACCGAGTCCGACAGTTCAGCCGACGGGTCCAGGACCTCAGAATATGAAACTGGGGCTCCCTCCATAGATATGTTGTTATTGATACGTCCTGCATATTGGCTCACGGGCTCCAAAGCTGGCCCCACCGCTGCCACAGAAGATTCAACCGATGCCATCGATGGGGACTCTGCCACTGCCAAGTGTACCAGTATTGATGCATGGGACTCTGATGCCGAGATAGTGCACAAGCTGCCGCCAAAGCCGGTTTTCGTTGAGGCAGCCCAGGGTGACTGGGACAGCTCTGGCTGGCCAGAAGGCAACCCAAGAGACGAGGAATAGTTTGGCCTCGCCGAAGCTGTTGTCATCATGCCTGGGATGAGGCTCAGCACCCGCATATCGAGGTTTGCATAGTTTTCGAGGCTCGACGTGTTAGAGGGAAACAAGGACTCGAAGTCAACGCGAGTGTGATGCACATGAAGATCTGTAGATGACGGCGGGTTCAATACGGAGGATTCAGCGGACGATGGATCCAAAGGTGGCTCCGGTGTTTCCGCAGCTGCAGCTTGGCCACCAGCAGTGTCAGGAGGACCGCTCAGAGTCGTGTGCACGGCTGCACCCTCGACGGGTTCTAACCGCTTTGAATCCAAGTTGCCGCCTTCCTCAGCCAGCCTGGCCGGGGTAATATGCACGGCAGAAGCGTCAGGTGATGAGCCGGAAGGGTTCTGTGCAAAAGCTTGAGGCCCAGGTGCGGATACGCTGGCGAAAGGTAGACCAGGGCGGTACAGGATATCGTAGTGGTCTGGTCGGAACAGCAGAGATATGCGCAAGTCGATGGAATTCTCCTCCCGGTTGTTGTTTTCCTGGGGGAATCGGTAAAGGGGGACGTTGGAGCCCACACTTCGATCCAGATAGGCAATCTCCAGGACAATGTCAGGCGGTTTGAGCAAAATGTTGGCCAGTATTTCGATCCGGACGTGGTCGATTTCGCAGTTTGGCCGCTCAATATACTCCTGGCAATAGCCTTCCAGGCCGTCTGGATGTATGAGGAAATCTTGGTAGAGCAAGGCGTTTCCCTTGAGATATGAGGCGACTAGCAGCCGCAGATGGTAGATGATGGCGTTCCCTGAGTTGGCATCATTGAAGATGTTCGTCAATGCCGTGGCGGCCTTGTCCGTTTCAGGCATGGCATTGATTATCTTGACAAAGAGATTGTCAGTCTCCTCAACCATGTCCTCATAGACATATGGGTTGTAATGCCCGACATCACGGATGTAATCGTTCAGGCTCTGCAATCGGCTGCGCTCATTCTTGATCCGGTCCATGTTCTCGGTATGGATCAGCGCTTCAAAGTAACAGAAGCCAATTGCTAAGGAGGGTCAAAAAGACCACGCGAGTCAGCCCAGAGCAATGCCCAGCACCGCACAGCGTTCGCGTCATTTTCCACGAATCTGCACGATTGGACGGAGGAGACAGAGCGAGGAGAGAGAGGGGCAGATATGACTGGTAAGAAACGGGACTGCCATACCTCTCCATCCACAATTACCATCTCCGAGAATGGAACGGTAGAGAGGGAAGATGTCTGGCAATGTCTGCATTCGACGAGAGGTCAGCTCGGGGGAAGTCCGAACAGAGGGGGCTCTCTGGAGCTCTCAACGTACCCCGGTCTTTTCGGCGAACGCAGCATCAGCGGTAGCATAGTGCTCCTTGACGACGTCGGTCGACTGGATGCTGCCTACAGCTGGGCCCTACCGAGAGGTTAGGAGGAGTGCAAGCCGGGCAGAGAGGAGAGCGAGAGCGACACGCACGGTAACGTCTGGTTGGTAGTCCCGGGCTAGTGCCTCTTGCGTAGCAATGTCGGCGGCGATATGGTCGGCATTGTCCCCCGTCATCTCGGGCAGATCGACGGCCATGGCCGAAAGCGGGTGTGGGAGTGGAGTATGTAGTTCGTCGAGCGCAAGGGGACGATACAGACTCGCGTGGGGTTGGCTGTGGGAGATCTTGGCTTTGGCCTGGCGTCTCGGGGCCAGCCGTAGGCGGCAGTGACGGAGCTGCAGCGGAGATGAGGGGAGGGCGAGAGGGTGCGGGCGAGGGTGAGGGTGAGAATGAGAATGAGGATGAGGGGGGGCAGATGGAGATGAGGCGGCATTGGAGGATAAAAAGACGGCAGCGGGGGGAACAAGAACAGCAAGGCTGGTGGCGCTAGACACAAGGGCGGGGCGCGTTGCTGTGGACTGCTGTGGCGGTGGCTGCTGGAGCCGGTGGTGGGCTGTGGCGAAGTCGGCGTTGATGGTGCCGTAGTGGTAGCTGCCGTTTGCGGTGCAGCCGCCGCAGGGCAGGCGCTGATGCTGTGGGAAGGCTAGGGCGGTATAGGAGGAAGTGGCACAACCGACGTAGTTGACAGCTGCCACATGGCTTGCAGCTCCGCTGACCATAGCGCCTGCTGGAACCGCGCTTCTGTTTCTGCATCTGTTCGGTTCGTCGCACAGGCCGCCAGCACCGTCCCCGCTGTCGTCGCAGGCCGATGAGATGGGCTGTGGGGGAGCAGCAGCGCTAGCAGCGGGGGCTTGTGCGTGTTGGTGAATCCGGTAGAATAGCGCCTGCTGGTGCTGGTGCTGTGTCGGTGGTGGGTACTGAGGCTGTTGGAGCAGTTGGAGCTGTTGGAGCTGCTCGAGCTGCTGGTGATCGTAGTCGTAATGGTAGTTTTGCTGCTGCTGGAACTGTGGTTGCTGGTACAAAAAGGTGTTCTGGTAGTGCAATTGATAAGGCTGCTCGTATTCTAACTGCTGGCGCTGTTCTTCCTCCCTCTCCTGCCGTTCCTGTCGCTCTCGCTCCTGCTGCCCTGACTGCTCTTTGTACTGGCGCTGAAGGAGCTGGAGGCGCTGGAAGCTAGCGACATCGGTGAACTCCACCGTTATCTCAACCGGCGTTAAAGCGGGCAGTTGCATTTTCGCGGGAAGCTGCGAAGATGAGCGGAGGGAAAACAGAGAGACAGAGAAGGAGACAAAAGAAAAATAGGAAGGAGGAAGGCAGAGGGAGAAAAGGCAGGCGAGAAGACGGAAAGAGAGAGAGAGAGAGAGAGAGAGAGAGAGGAAGAGGGAGACGGGCGTAAGAAACTGGATGGGAATCCGCAAGAGAAGAGGCTAATTCTTGTAAGTGACAGCGGCGTCTGGTTGGAGCAGCTGGGGGCTAACGGCGGATCGATCGCTACCAAACCCCAGGCTGGCCCAAAGTTTTGATTCGTGCCTCCTTCCCAATATTTGGTTCTGGCGCTCGTGCAGAAAAGCTGCAGGACGACGGGAAATTGTTGGCGAGCGATCGGCAGCTGGGACCACCAGCTGTGGTTGGGGGGTAGGGGAGAAGAAGAGGAGCTGAGGGCTGGGATGGACCAAATTTAGACCGGTCGCGCAGCCTGGAGACCGGTCGATGGGGAGACAATAACTGGACGAATCTGGACAGGACAGACGACCGATCTGCAGAGGCGGCCTGGAGAGAGAAAGACACAGAGAGAGCGGCCTGATCGACAGAGTGAAGCCGATGAGAGCAAAGGAATCACGATCTATATGAAGACAGCAGCAGCGCGTGGGAAGAGACGAGACGAAGGGCCAGGAGCGTGTCCGGGTGAGACACAGCTGTGAGCCGCCGGAGGAGGGCTCGACGAGCCGGTCGACGATCCAAGATGCTCCCGGCTCGCGCTGCTGGTCGCTGTCGGCATGGGTCCCATCAGGGCCACGGCCCAGGAGCAGCGGTCGTGGCATGCGCACTGGTGGGCCAGCCAGATCTGCTCGAGAGAGCGAGCGCAGAATCGACATCTCAGGCATCAGCCCGGAGAAGTTGTGTGTTCTCTGGAAATGGAAACGGGCCATCTCCGGATACGGCAAGCTGCAAGCCAGAGGGGCGCAGGCCGGGGAGATTGCCTTGTGTCTGCATTACCAGCGGATTCGGGCAAAAATACTCTGTGCGTTGCTATTGTGCTTGCTTCTTTGGTCTCCATCTTCTTTTTTTTCTTGTTTTTTCTTTTTTATGATTATCTCTCCCATGCCTGCTGCTCTTCGCGTCTCTCTCCACCATCCCCCATCCCCCAATCTATGGGTCCCAAGGCGGTCTAGCCTGCTGCTGTGGGCCAGCTATTATTGGGTGTGTTGCATTAGTTACTAAAAACGCAGCTCGTGCATGTGGCATGCCAGAAGGACAGAGGTCTCCCATGTATCTGACTCGCAGCCCAGGCGACTCTACTGGAATCCAGCACCGCTTGCTCCGGCCTCCTGTCTCACCACCAGCCTACAATTGCGAGCGCTTGTGGAAAGGGCCCCCGGGGCGATCCCGATCATCGATGCAACCCGTTCTGCATCCTACGGGGAAATCAATATGGTGAAACCGATGGATGTGCCACGTCAAGCACAGCAGACATCAGGATCTTCGATTGGCCCACACACAGGACAGAGAGATGGCCATCCCACCCTTACCACGACAATCCCGGTCGACGACAATACAGGGGTTGTGTACCCAGAGCCCGGAAGCCATACTGCATCTGCTCCAAGGCCATTCCCTCATTGTGCAACGTAGCATCCCGTCTGCTATGGAAAAAAGAAAGGCTGCGAGGCAGTCGGGTGAATGACGTATTATTGCCTCCTCGGCTGGCATTTCCGAAGACATCACGAGACGAGGCGCACGGCTGGAGCTCGTGCTCACAGATGCCGTTTCTGACCCCCAAAAAGGGCTGCCCATACATAGTACTGCCATGGGCTGCGATGTCCGTCCTGCTTCAACTTAGCTTCGCGACGGGCCCTTCCAGACTCCTTGTCTAGCAGGTCGCAGCCAATCCACCCTGACGGCCTCTGTGCGCCATCTGGCAATGGCGTCTGCCAAACTGTGGTCTGTTACGTGTGTGGCCGCTGCAGGATGTCCCCCATGCACGATAGCCTACGCAGCGAACCAGCCGCACCGCTGGCACACCCTCTCCTCTGGCTATTGGGCGGGGCTTGCCACTGTGTGTGTTGGGGTGCGCCATACAGAAGCATCCACGTCGAGGAGGACTCGGGATGCTACATCGTGCGGCCCTTCCATTCCACGCCACGGCCGTCCGTGCATGTGCCATCCCTTGACAATGTCGTGGCCTGTAGTTGGACGAGACGGCGGCAGTTGGACGGAACGGTTGGCCGTCTGGCTAACGGACGGTGCAAAGACAGAAATGCGCTACTGTAGGCCGAGAGCCTTGCCTGCCAAAAGGAAGAGTACAGGGAGGGAAAAAGAAAACAGGCCGTCGGCTCATTGTGTCCGACCAGGCAGACTGGAAGAACAGAGTAGAATTGCCCCATGAGGGGCTGAGCAGCCGAGCTGGGTTGGACTCCCAGACGAAACGGCAGATGGTGGCCTTGCCGACGGCTTCGTCACGAGGCGACACGAGACACCGACCGGCTTCCCCCACAGGGGCGAGCAACTGCAGTCAGCAGCTTCGTCGCAGCTACCGGCCCATTGGACGGCCATCTTTGGCGCTGCTGCGCGCGGAATTGCTCTCCTCTCCGACTTCAGGCGTCGGACAAGGCGGCCAGATAGAAAAAAGAAACAAAGCATGAGGAAGAAGCAAAGAAGCGCAGCAGCCAAGAGCAGGATGGAATAGACCTCCGTACAGAGTACGGCGTCTGCCCCAGCAGTCTCACCGCAACATTTTGCTTCACAGCCATGGTGCATGCAGAGCTCGCATATCCGTCCGGCCCTGTTGCTAGCACACCGCAACCGGAACGCTGCTCGGCTTTGCCGAGCGTCGAGGAGACATATCCTAGGGACAGGCGCCGTTTTGCCGTTTTCCCCTTTAGCCTGCCGTTTCGGTGATAAAAATAGGTGCCTAATTCGCTACAGAGTCTTCGCGTGCGGCCATTGGCTGAGGCCCTATCTCAATTTGCCTTGGATTCCGTGTCTGCTTCCAGAAACGGCAGCTCGTCCAGAAGTCTACCCGCTCACCGTCATATCGGATGCTACCACGCAGCGGCTCGGGCGTCTCTATTCAGCCGTCTCCGCCTTTTCTGGACAGCGCCATCATAGTCGTCGTCGTCTTCGTTTGCCAATCCGCATAAACACTCCACATCACTCCTCCTACTCCATCACCCCTGCTTTGATCGACGGCTGCCGGCCAGGCCCTTTGCTCCGGAGCGCGGATGGCGCCCGCTGTGGCGGACGGAAAAGGGTGACGCCGGGGCGCTGGAAAACGGGTCTGGCGGGCCAGAGCCGGCGTTGGTGCCGTCGGCCGAGGCGGCGCCCGGACGCAGCTGGGTGGCAGTGTTGCTGAATACGGCACGGGCGAGGCCCATGACGGCGTCGGTGAGCTCAGAGACAGCCTCGACGCGGTCGGCATCGACGGCCGACTGCAGCTCGAGGACGCCGGCCTGCTGGTCGATGGTGCCAGCGATGCGCCCGTCAACGATGAGGTAACCGAGAATATCGTGGACCTCAGCGTCGCTGATGCGGATCTGGTCGGCGATCCAGGCCGTCCGGAGACGGGTGTAGGGGGCGATGAGGCGCAGGACAGCCTTGGTCCGCATGGTGCGGGTGACCTCGTCAATGTTCTCGGCGATGAAGGAATCCTGCAGCAGGTCCGGGTGGCGGTGCAGGACGTCTTCGTAGCGACGGATGTCGTCGTGCTGGTAGGCCTCGACCAGCTCAGTCATGGCGGCGATGCGCGGATCGTTGCGGTACGGCTTCGTCTCCTGCGAGTCGAACGGGTTGATGTCGGACCGCATCAACATTGTGGTCAGCAGCAGGTACTTGAGCACCTGGATGCGCTGCAGCGAGCCGGCCTCGTCGTAGTTGCGAAACGACTCGAAGAAGTCGCCCTGTGCGTCCTTCCAGTTCTCCTCGCTCATGTGCATCTTGCCGCCGCATTCGCGAATGATGCCCATGATCTTGGGGTGCGGCACGGCTGATCGTACCCGGAGGGCCCGCTGGTAGAGCTGCTTGAGCTGCTTGTTATTCTTGCGCTCCGCATACATCTGAATCTCCAGCGCGTAGATCTCCAACAGGTACGTGCCCTTGCTCGCGTCGTCCGTCCCGTCTGCCCGCTGGCAGGCCCGGTGCAGTTCGCGCAGCTTGCGCACCACGTCGACGTATTGGTGCCGGTCCAGCAGCAGCTTGGCCTGCTTGACGCTCGTCTTGAGCCACAGCCGCTCGTTGTTCGTGCTCTGGAAGCACGCTAGCGTGAGGTCGTAGAAGCCCCCCAAAAACGGCCCTGCCTGCTCGCTGCCGGCCGAGTTCTTCTCCACAAAGTCGAGCATGTTGTTGATCGACTTTTCCGAGTAGTTGCGTGTCACTGCCGACTTGACGTACGTGAGCAGTTCTTTGTAGTGTTCGACAGCCTTGGAGGTTAGTTGTGTAGAATGAGCAGGATAGAGAACAAACGAACAGAGAGCACAGCAGAGAAGACAACTCACTGCTTCGTATTGCCCTAGCTTGAACTCCAGCTTGATGGCCTGCTTCAGTCCCTTGAAGCCCCAGTCGGCCTTTTGCGGTTCCAGCGCCGGGATTCCCAGGAACTCCACAATGGCCTCGCTTGGATCCGTCAACTTGGTCTGCTTCGCATTGTAGTACTTGTTCTCGATCGTCACCTCGCCAGCATCCAGCTCGTCTTCGTCGTCTTCGTACTCAAAGTCGTACTCCTCCTCGTCAGAGGCCTGCATGAAATCGTCGTCGGACATGGTGGGCGGCCGGGTGGACAGTCCCTAGACGGTCTGTCGGATGCCGAGAGGGGATGTTGCCGTACAGAGACAGAGACCGAATGGCGGTCGGCACTTTGGTTGTTGCAAGAAAATAAGAGCATGTGGGGTTGGCGATGAGGCGGCCAGCAAAAGGCAGCTCAGTTCGCTACGTTGGCGGCAGCTCCACACGGAAGCCTGAGAGCCCCGCTTTATGCACGGGCCACATTTCAGCCTCCCCTTTGGGTCCTTGTTCGATTTGCCACTACAGTTTGGCAAACACCAACAGCAAAGGCAAAAAACAGCAGACACAGAAGAAGACAACCCGAAAAAAAGCAGTGACAAGCACGACAGCACCCTGACACAGACACCCGTACAGCGCTTCATCCCCAGACGATTGCTGTCGAACCGCCGTCATGGGTTCGGGTGACCTCAACGCCAAGAAGAGCTGGCACGTTGTCAATCTCAAGAACCAGCAGAAGGTATGGGAGAGCGAGCGGGCAGCGCTGGCGGAGCGCAAGAAGGTGGCGGAGCGGGTGGAGGAGCTGCGCAAGGAGCGCCAGGAGGAGGAGATTGCGCGCCAGCTCGAGGAGGCCGGCGGCCGCAAGCGCGTCGACCGCGTCGACTGGATGTACCAGGGTCCGTCGGCCGAGAACGGCGGCATGGTGACGGAAGAGGCCGAGGCTTTTCTGCTGGGCAAGCGGCGCATCGACGCGCTGATCCGGGGAGACGACCACAAGAAGCTCGAGAAGAACGCGGCGCACGACCGCTTCGCGGGGCCGTCGGGGGGCGAAGGAACAAGTGCTGGTGCAGGTGCAGGCGCAGCGAGCAGCATGACAGCGGCCAGCACGGCGCGCGACATGCTGACCAAGATCCGTGAGGACCCGCTACTGGCGATCAAGCGCCAGGAGCAGGAGGCGTACGAGGCCATGGTGAGCGACCCGATCCGGCGGCGGCAGCTGCTGGCATCCATGGGGCTGTCGACGACGGCGGACGAGAAGAAGAAGAGCAGCCGGTCATCGTCGGACCGGAAGAGACGACGACACGACGATGACGACGATCGACACCACCACCGAAGCCATCGGCACCGCGACAACGACGACGACGAGTCGCGGCGGCACAGACGACGGGACGACGCGCGTGATGGGTCTGATAGTCGGCATCGACGGCGATCTCGCAGTCCGGCCAGGCGACGCGATCGGTCCGGCAGCCGAGGCCGGGACTACGATCGGCCGTCTCGCAGGGAGGAGAGGGACGACAGGGACGGCAGGGATGGACGGAATGAACGGGGTCGAAGAAGCGAGTGGGATGGGAGGAACAAAACGAATGCCAGGACAGGCGGCCGGCCGTCCGATCGAAGCAACGGTCGCACCAACGCCGACGACGAGCGGGCACGCAAGCTGGCGGCCATGCAGGCGGCAGCGTCAGAGCTGGACCAGCAGCGCGAGCAGCGACTCGCTCAACGGGAAGCACAGGAAGCAGCAGCGCGGGCAGCTGATGACAAGGCGCGAGCACGTGACGAGCGGCTAGGCGGCGAGCAATCATCGTTTGCGACGAGCCTGCGACAGCAGGTGGGCGAGATGGGACTGGCAGAGCGACTCGGGCGAGGCCGCAAAGGACTACAGCGGGATGAGGAGTAGGGGATGATAGGAGGGAGAGCAGAAGCTTGTAACATGCTATGGGTAGACACCAAGACAGAAGAGAGTGAGGAGAATGATGACTAAGCATTATCAGAATCGGCCAAACGGGCAAGTTGACACAAACTCCTCACAGGCGGTATTCCTCGTAGGCAGCAGCCTCGCGACGGCGGGCATCGATGCGAGCGAGAGTAGGGGCATCGTAGAGGTCAGCGAGGGGACGGCCGGCGAGCAGGATCTGGTCGTGATGGCGGGCGGCCTCTTCGCGGGTCATGCAGACGAGGTCGGCGAGCGAGAGGCGAGTAGAGCGCTGCTCGGGGTCATTGGGGTTGCCGGCAGCGACACGATGGACGAGAGAGGCGGCCGAGCCGTCGTCGTCGGACGGCCACTGCCAGCGGACGAGGGTGGTGCGCGTGGGAAGGCCGGAGACGGCGCTGCGGCCACGATAGACGTCCTCGACGAGAAAGGCGACGTCGCCGAGGGTGAGAGGAATGCGAAGGCCGACAGCGAGAGAGGGTGTGGTGGTGGTGGTGGTGTTTTGGCGGGCTTCGCGGGCGCGGATCAGACGCTCTTCGGCGCCGTGCACGGCACCGAGGATCTGGTCGTAGAGCTTGTCGCGGCCCTTGACGGCCGAGTATTCGTAGGGATATTGGGCGACGGTCAGCAGGACGTGGTTGGCCAGGGTGTAGCCAAAGACGGCCGGCATAGTGCCGAGAACGGGCAAGATGCGGACGCGAAAGTCGGGCAGGGCGCCGAGCTCACGCACGGCATCGCGGCCGAGCCGGGCGTACTGGTCGTCGGGCAGTGGCAGCAGGGCAGCTTTGCCGTCGCCGGCCGGCTCGGTCGAATAGACGGCCGTGATGCCGGACGTGATGCCCAGCAGCTTGAGCCGTCGCCGAGTCGCTCGCGAGAGCCGGTCCTCGGCACTGCCGCCCAGATCGCCCACCACGACCTTGGTCGGATCGCTCTTGGTGCCGGCACCCATGGAGGCCACGACGGCGAGCCCGTGCGCGTGGCAGTACCGCAGCAGCTCCACCTTGCTGTCGATGTTGTCGATGGCGTCGATGATGAACGTCGGCGCCGTCGCGTCGCCCTGCCAGCCCCCCAGAAGATCGCCGGCCGAGGCGCCGTCAAACTTGGCCTGCCGCTGGTCAAACTGCACCCACGGCGCTACCGCCTGCAGCCGTCGCGCGAGCACCTGCACCTTGGCCCGGCCCACGTCCGCCAGCGTCGCCACCGCGTGCCGGTTCAGCGAGCTCAGCGATACCTGGTCAAAGTCCACCAGACGCAGCCGGCCAACACCCGATCGCGCCAGCGCTGCCGCGCAGTGCGAGCCCACGCCGCCGCAGCCTACCACCACCACCACTGCTGCACGCACGCGCGCCAGACCCTCCGCCGTCAGGAACGCTTGGTTGCGCGTCAGCTGCTCCAGGATCACCTCCTCTGCATAGTCGCCTGCTTGCGCCCGTCGTGCCAGCGCCAGCGCCCGCTCTTCTTCCGCGTCCAGCGGTACCTCTCCTGCTGTCTTGGTCTCGGTCTCTGCCTCGGCTTCCACCTCCGCCTCCACGCGCTGTCGCACCGCTCGCTTCAGCTGTCGCAGCCGTGCCTCGTGCGTGTGGTGCTGGTATCCCAGTAGTGCCGTCGCCACCACGGCCCCCGACAGCACTGCCGTCGCAGCCAGCTGCACATGCCGGCTGGCCGCTGCCTGCGCTAGCACCGATGTCATCTCTGGGCCTGCGCGCTGTTCGTTCCGCTGCCTGTGCGAGCCCGTTGTCCAGACACGTTGTGTGCGTTGGTTATGCAACTCGCCAAAAATCCATCCTCTGCAACTACGAAAATTTCCACTTCTAGAAGTCACGTGCAAACACCTCATCGTTCCATCCTCCTATCGTTCCTGCGCCGGCTCAAGACAAAGACATACTGAATTAGGACAGGCCGAGCAAGCACGCTTTCCCTGTAAAAAAAAAAAAAAAGGTAAGATACATACAGATATGCAAAGACAGCCCCGCGAGCACCCGGTCCTTTCTTGGCGTCCTCTCTGTGTATGCTAGGGGCCCCATTGCCCCTTTCCTCCTTTCTCGAGAGGTCGCCCCGGAAAGCATTGCAGCAAGAAAATGGTATAAGATAAGGAAACAGAAGCGAAGAGACCGTGTGGACGGGTAGACAGAAGAAGCGGAGAAGAGGAGAGGAGGAGGGGGAGGGAGAAGAGGAGAAAAAGGAAAACAGAAGACGGAAAAGATAAAAGAAAAAAGAAAAAAAGAAAAAAAAGAAAGAAGAGGGTAAAGGGAAAACAAGCAATAGGAGAGCCTGCCATGACGGGCAAGCCCAAGCGGTGTGTGAATATAGAACCATAATCCTGGGACGGTCGTTAGGTGTGAGACGGATGAGACGGAGTGGCGGGCGAGACGGCAGACGGAACGGTGGTGTCGATACGCGCCATCCACGCGCCCTCTACATGATGGTGCACTTGCCGCCTTCGCGTTCCTTTCGCACGCTCAGGGCCACGCGCGCAGCTTCCGTAAAGGCCTCGTTGACGCCCCGGTTGCGCATCGCCGAGCACTCCAGGTACCGCATCGCGTTGATGCGCCGCGCCACCTCTAGGCCCTGGTCGTATGTGATCATCGGCTTCTTCTCGCGTGCTGCCGGCGCTGCACCCGACGCTGCCGATCCGTCTTCGCCGCCGCCAGATGCCGCGCCGCCCTGCGTCGCTGCGCCCTCGCTGGCCTCCTCGTCGTCCGCCTCGCGAAGATCGCACTTGAGCGCCACCAGCACCAGCTTCACGCCCGGGCAGTTGTCCGCGATCTCGCCCACCCACTTCGACTCCACGTTCTCCAGGCTGTCCCGGCTGTCGACGCTGTAGCAGAGCATGATCAGGTCCGTGTCGTCGTAGGACAGGCTGCGCAGCCGGTCAAACTCCTCCTGGCCTGCCGTGTCCCACAGCGATAGCTCAATGTGCACATTGTCGACAAAGATATCTGCTCCATGTCAGCCTCCATCCCGGCATCCGTCCACTCCTACGCCTTGGCCTGCAATCAGATCGTACCGTGTACGTAGTTCTCGAACACTGTTGGCTCATAGACGGTCGGGAAGTAGCTGCAGTCCGGTTAGCATTCTCCGCCAGCCTGCCGCCGCAAACGGACAGAAACGCGTACCCTCTCGTAAAGACATTGAGTAATGATGTTTTTCCCGAAGCTCCGTCTCCTCTATGTCGCGCAGTATTAGCAAGCATTCCACTGGCCGCTGGTCTCTCTGCCCTATCGGTCGGACATCCGCCTGTTCTTACAGTAGGACCAGCTTGCGCTGTGCCGTTTTTGATCCACCACAGAGGAACGACATCGTGTGCGTGTCGTGTGAGAGAGCGAGAGAGCTGTATCGATGCGTGCGTCCACAACACGGCGAATGTGTCTCCTATCCTTCAGGGGGGTCGAAGATGGTGTTTTTTTCGAAATGTCGAGAGACGATGCGCACACCGCTTGTGGCTCGAAGACGTGTGTATGCTGGACGGAACGATCTGGCCGCGTCAGAATGGCGGATCGGGGCGAAGCAATAAGGCGCGGATGAGCTGGCCAGGACGGGGAGGCTTTGGGGGGGGGGGGGGGGGTGCGAGAGGACTCACGGAGAGAGCGAGTAGAAAAAAGACAGACAATTCCAAAAAGACGGTGAAACAGAGAAAGACAAGGAGCGTGAAGCAAAGCAGACCGATGGGCGTTGTTTGGAGAGTTGGATGCGAAGAGAATGTGCAGCTGGGAGCTGGAAACGAGAAGCGAGAGAGCGAGAGAGAGAGGGAGAAGCGAGTGACAATAGAATTACGGAGTATGGAGCCGGGAATTGGAAAAAACAGGGGCGGTCCGTCCAGTTTGGGGGAGGAAGTCTAGGCGTTCACGTAGCGTTCGCTGACTCGGACGGGACTGTAATACCGTATGGAGTCATGCAAAGCAGCACCATAGGAGACAGAGGCTTACAACATCGCAAGTCGCTTCAGGTCGTGCGTCGTCCGCAGATTGAGGCGGCTATGCCTTTACGACTTTACGACTCGGATGACTTGCACGAGAGGCCAAAGCAGCAGACGCTCTTTGTTGAATGCAAGCCGACAAATGGAGGCGTAAGACCCGTTTTCTTAGGTGCATTAGCGTCAAGAGGACAGCTCAAACGAGGAAGAAACAAAGAGCGGCAGAAATATGGTTACCATGTACTCCGTACAGAGTTAATCCCAAACAGATTGGGGGGGGATTTGGAAACAATTAAAATAAAACACCATCCGTCCCGGCAGGACCACCGCTGCGGAAATGGAGACAACCCGTGCAATTACGGCCTGCGCCCCTAATCCCACTGCAGCCTCAGGCATAAAATAGCATACATACTCCGTACTTCGTACCGTATCTTACGTCGTATCCTACAGTAGTCCGCCCCGCCTCCCGTACTTGTAAGATACAAAGTACTCCGTACTCCGTAGTGTCACTCCATATTAGCCGGAACTAGCGGCGGCGTTAGTTGCCCAGATCGGATGCCTCAGTCTTGGCCTCTCATCGAGAACGGCTGCTTGAATTGCATATAGTCGTACAGGAACAAAAAGACCAGTCGTCCGCAGGAAGAAAATCGGTAGTGTAACCCCCTCCCCCTTTTTATCGCTCATCATGTACGTATGGTGTTTGAACATGAATTGCATCCCAAACGCAATTCCAGAAATCCAACAAAAATGGAGAAGAAGCAGATGCGGCAGAGCCGACAAGATGGACGAGAATCGAAGAGAAAGAGAAAATGATAAGAGAAGGGGTAAAGAACAAGAAAACGGAAACATTAGCCACAAGTCAACAATCAGCAAATCAGCAAATCGGTAAACAAAAAAATCACAAAGATCACAAAGATCAGAGCTCAAAAATAGAGAAGCCCAAGAAACGCCCCGGGATCCCCCCTCTCGTCCACTGATTAGGTCGGGTGTCAGCTTGGCTGCCCACTCAGCTGTCCAGCCGCTTTCGCCAGTCCGCAAGGCTCTCGCTCAGCCCCAGTCCGCCGTCTTCCTTGCCGTCCTTTGTCGGCGACGACGATGCCGCCCTCCCGTTGTTGTTGCCACCGCCCGCGCCTCCATTGTCAAAATCGAACGCGTTGCTCAGCCGGTAGTTCTTGTTGGTCGCCTCCCAGTGGCTGCGCAGCGTCTCCAGCTCGTTGGCGAGATTGTCCAGCGCCGCGCTGTTGCGTGCCTCGCCGTACGTGCTGCCAGCCTCCGAGCTGTCCTGTCGTGCGTGTCCGAAACTGCCTCCTCCGAGCTGCCCGTTTGCTGCCATGGGCGCCAGGCCGCCTGCCGTGCCACCCAGTGTGCCGCCCAGTGTGCTTCCCAGTGTGCCGCGCTCTAGACCCGCTGCTGCTGCTGCTGCTGTTGAACCACCGCTGCCCGTCTTCAGGTCCCTGAACTGGTCCGGTCCGACGATGGTGATCTGCCGGCTCACTCGACGGTAGTTTCCCACCGACGACTCCACCTGGTCTAGCAGCATGCCCACCTTCATCTCGGCGTCTTGTGCTCGCCGCTCCAGCTGCGTGCTCTCCCGGTGCAGCTGCTCGTAGTCGTGTCGTGCTGATGCCAGTCGCGTCGTCGCCTCTTCGCCCGACCGTACCGCTGCATCGCGCTCGCGCTTCACCCCCTCCAGCTCTTGTCGCACCAGCTGCAGCTCGTTGCCCAGCTGCGCCTGTGCCAATTCCAGATCCGACTGCAGCGCCTCGACCTTCTCCGTCAGAGCAAGGCGCTCCGTCTCCCAGTCGGCCGGCATCGAGTTTCCACCGCCACTGCGCGCCCGCGTCTCCTCCAGCTCGTCCACTTCGGCCTTCAGTCGCATGTTCTCGGCCTTGTACCGTGTCAGCTGTTCCTGCAGCTGCTTCAGCATCTTCTCCGTGCCCTTCACATAGTGTACCGCTGACTGGTAGTCGTTTTCCAGCTGTGTCAGCTTGTCGCGGTACAGCGTCTCTGCCTCTGTCGCCTGTGCCGAATACAGCTGTTTGGTCTCCTCGTGGCCTGCCAACGCCGATGACAACTGTCGCTCTAGATTGCGGATCCGTGCCTCCTGCTCCGGCGAGCCCTCGCGAGGGCTGCCTCGGGGACGCGCCGAACTGGTCGGGCTGATGCCTCGCTCGCTCAGAATCTCCTTCAGCGTGTTGTGCTGCACCGTCACTGCGTTCGTCTCCAGCTGCTGGTGCGAGAGCTGGTGCTTCAGGTCGCTGCTGAGTGCCTGCAGCGTTTGTGTCTCTCGCAGCGCTCCCTGCAGCTGTCGCCGGATCGTCACGCCCTCGCGGCTGGCCTGCTCTTGGTATGCTTCTAGACCGGCAATCCGTTCTTCCGCCGACCGCAGTCTGTCCGATGCCGTGTCGGCATCCTGGTGGTGCTTCTTTGCCAGCACCTTGGCTGCCTCCAGCTGGCTCTGCAGCGCTGCGATGCGGTCCGTGTCCGCCTTGTTTGACGTGTTCGACAGGTCGCGGCTCTTCATCTTGTCCAGCCCGTTAACTATCGCCAGTCGGTGAGCGCGGGACTCGCTGGCATGTCTCTCCGCAAGCTCTTCGGTATCGCGTAGCCGCTGCGTCAGCGTCATCACCTCCACTGTGCGGCCTTCCAGCTCAGCCTTGACAGTGACCAGTTTCGCTTCGGCTTCCTCCCGTTGCGCTCGTTCCTGTAGTAGCTTCTGTTCCAGGACTGTCTTGATGTCGGCCGATGCCACCATGGCCTCACGCAAGGATTCGAACGAGTCGTCCGTCTCTTTTGCGTTACCGGCAGCGTCGTTGTATTGGCGTTCGAAATCCTCCTTCTCTATACGGAGCATCTCCAGAGCCGCTGCAGCCTCGACCGCCTTGACCGCTTCCTCGCGCGCTTCGTGCTGTGCACGGTGAAGCTCAGCCTTCAGGCCCTCCAGCTCGTACGACGTGTGCTGTTTGTAGCTCTCTAGCTCCGTCATTCGTCGCTGCGCAGCCGCCAGCGTGTCGTCTGCCAGCTTCCGTGACCGCTTCTCCGCGTCAGCTTCAGCCGATTTGCGGTCCAGTTGGGCTTGCAGCTCCTTCTGCGACGCCAAGGCCGTGGCGAGTTTGCGGCTGATGTCCGTCGCCCGGTCTGCAATATCGCGATCCCTGTCCAGCTGAGGTGTGCTCGCTGCGCTGCCAGTCCCGGTGTGCGCCGCCAGCTTGGCCTTGGCGTAGACAGCCTCCTGAATGGCAGCATCACGCTGCTTGTCGGCTTCTGCAATCTGCTTCGCAGCGAGAACTGCCTGCTTGTCGACTGACGCCTGCACGTTGGCCAGCTCCGTCCGCATCGCCAGAAGCGCTTCAATCAGGGGCTTGTCGTCGTCGTCAAACGTTTCGGAGCCACGTCCGTCAAGAAGGGGACTGAGGGATGCGTTTGACACGTAGCCCGCCTTTCGGGCCAGCTCGAGCTCGGAAGCGTACCAGGCGTTCCGGTTCCTCGCAGAATCCAGCTCCTTAAGGACGGCAACCGTCTGCGAATTGCGGTTAGACGACCGCCGCGCGAGCGGGTTGCCGCCACCTTGTCGGGCTGGCGGCGGTGGTGAAGACGGCCGGTTGACAGGGGCCTGTCTTACAGCCATATCCGCAGCATTGTCCATCGACATTTGTGCAGGCGGGCCTCTGGGTCGTGAGGCGACCGGGCTCGCTGCACCACCAGCTGCTGCTGCCGAAGCCATTGATCCTCCAGCCGCAGACGCCGCTCCTGTCACCTCGGGACCCGTTGCAACCGGCGGAGGCCTTGCGGACTGTGGTGCACCCGCAGGATCTCCCCTTGGACCTGGTCTCAGGCCTTGCGACAGTGGGGGCCGATTTCCGTTTTGTTGGAAGCCGTTGACATCCCGGGGACTGCCACGCATGCCAGGCGACTGGGCCGAGCCCGAGTTGCTTCGAGCAGGAGAGGCGGAATAGCCGCCGCGCTCTGCTGACGCATTTCGAGGTCGTCCCTGATTTGGAGGGTGAGGCTGATTCGGCTTTGGCAACTGTCCTTGGGGTGGCGATGTTGCTGGCGGCGATGGTCCTGCGGCCCTAGGCAGCTTGGACATTCCGTTGACGGGCGAGCTCGAGCCGTCGCCGGGGTTCGTGTCAAGTCCGTTGGGAGACTTGTAACCGTTGATGGGACTACCCACTCCACCAGGGCCACCAGGGCCACCAGGGCCACCACCTGGACCTCCAGGTGGAGGCCCCCCTGGAGGTCCCCCTGGGCCTCCCCCTGGACCCATTGGCCGTTTATGGTCGCCAGAGATTGGACCCTGAGAGCCGTCTCGAGGCTGCACGGCTCTGGTCGCATCGCTTGGTCGTCTCTGCCCGTTCGGTGGTCTGGTCCCGTTCGGCGGAATCTGAGCATCGTTCGGGTAGCGGATTTTGTTGGTATCAAGGAGATAGACGAGCGAAAGGTCGTTGACCGTGGTTGTGGCAGAACTTGGTTCGCCGCCTAGCACGGCAATGGACTTTCCGACGGCCGTCATGCTGTGCCCGGATCGAGGGGAAGGAGACGGCCCCATGTTCTGGAACGTATACCAACGACGGGAGGAGATCCGGAACGCGGCCAGGTCACCCAGGTCGGCTCCTTCCTCCGTCCGACCGCCAAAAACATACATTACGTCGTCGACCAGAGCGGCGGCATGGCCCTCCCGCTCGACGGGAATATAGCCGATGCAATCCAGCTGCGACCAGCTGTTCGTCACAGGGTCATAGCACCAGACGTCGTTGAACCACTGGAAGCCATTCGTACCTCCGAAGCTGTTGGACTGAAATTAGACGCGGTCCAGACAAAACACGAGCGCTAGACAGCCTGCAGTAGACTTACAGGTACATCTTGTCATTGTATGACACTATTGTGTGGTTGGTTCTTGCCGGGGGGATCTTGCCCTGAGCAGCCCCAGTCTCGTTGGGCACCAGTATCTCCCACCGGTTGTTCGGCATCTGGAGCTGGTTCAGATCGAACGCAGCAAGATCGTTCATGAAGAAGCCCTCAACCTGGCCGCCGAAGATGAAGATCTTGGATCCAAGGATGTTCAGCGTATGGCCGTACCGTCCGGAAGGACGTGGCCCTGCAGGGAGAGCTCGGGACCATTGCCTCGTGGCTGGACAGAGTCAGCCGATGGTGCGGTCGGAAAGGGGAGGCGAGCGCTTACATGTGTTTAGCAAGTAGAGGGTTTCGTCGAGGACGTCGGACTCGTCAATTTTTGTGTCACCCCCGTAGACAATGAACGCATTGCCGACAAGAAGACTTGCGTGGCCGACTCTCGGACTTGGGCCTTCAGACGTGGTAGCGAGCTGGTAGCACGACATGTTGCCGCCGGCCTCGATCATCCAGAGGTCACCCTTGACGGTCTGGCTGTTGGTCAAGCCGCCCATGACATAGATGTCACCCTCCTTCGACGCAGTGGAATTGACCGAGGCCCCATACCGAGGAAATGGGCTGACGGTTGACGAGGTGTATGTGAGGCGCCGTTGTGACCAGGGGTACAAGGACATGTTGGAACTGCCGACGGCTGGACCAGGGCCGTTGCGAAACTGAGGACAAATTGTCAGCACGGCTAAAGGAAAACGGCAACAGAGGAGCGGGAGCCGGGAGAGCACGCGTGTCAGCATACCTGGAGATCACCGGCCGGCGGTGGCTGGCCCTGAGCAGCTGCTGGTGCAGCCGTAAGGGGAGTCTGCTCAGCAACGGGCGGCCGGCGATTATTGACAGCTCGGTCTGGGCTGCCGGTGGCGTCGTTGTCGAGCGAGTTCAGGCTGCCGTTCGGGGTGGATCGTTGAAAGGGCTTTTCGTCTTTTGCTATCCGGGCGCCGATACTGGCGACGGACGACTGTTGCGAACCGGACGTTGGACCTTCGCGGCTGGTCAAGACACGATCCTTTTCCCGGTCCTGGTGCTTCTTGGACTTGAATAGAAACGCCATCGCGCCAGGGCGTGTGACACAACAGCGGCAGCAGCGTGACGACGCCGACAACGGAATATCGCGATGGCGGAGGTGTCGGAATCCGAGGACAGCCTGGCCGTGAAGCGGTCAACGCGTTGTGGCGAATTACACTGGACTGGGCGAAGACGGTTCAATAGCGACGGGAAGCATGGGTGAGCACGCGCGAAGGAGGACGGGAGGGTAGAGCGTGATCTCGTTTCGTGGTTGGATCGGTCGGGAAAGGACAGTCGGCACAGCGGCCGTTCGAGCGCGAAGACCTGGGACCTGGACTATCTGGTTGTAAGCAGACGGTCGCGGAAAAGGGCTGGCGAATAGGGCTGTAGGGGAGACGAACAGTAGTTGGCTGGCGATTAAGGAGGCTCGGCGCCCGTGTCAGACACAGAGGCTGGGAAGGCGGGCGTAGGGGGAGAGAAAGGAATGTGTTTGCTTGTAAGTGGTAGTGAGAGAAGGAAGGGGGCGAAACAACCGAAGCGAGAAATCGGCTCGGGGCTTTCAGGGCGCAGGCAGAGACGTGCAGAACAATGGGGGCAGAATCGGTGCAGCGAACCGGTGTCGGTTCGACAGTGCGTGGTCGTTGCAGTAGCGAGGTCGGCAAAAAGGGGTTGCGTTCGATCGGGGCTGCTGAAGATGGTAGGATTTGGGATGGAATGATGGATTTGTCGTCGCTTTCCCACCTCTATTTTTCCCGGGCAGGCTGTTAATTTTTGGGGCCCTGTACTTTTTTTTCCCTTTGGGGTGGACCCCTGACTGAGAAGGGAAAAAGCAAAGAAGGGGACGAAAAAGAAGGATAGGAGCGAGAGACAAGACGAAGCAGCCTAACGCGGACTAGTCGGCGCTGTCAGGAAGCGTTGTGGCGACGGTTTGGACGTGGCTAGGATTACTTTCGTAGTAAACATGGCGAGAACCAGGGGGCAGAATAGAAAAGGGGGAACGACCTGCCGATCCATTATGACGACGTGCTCCGTAATTGCTCGTATAATCGAGCTGGGCTTTTTTCTTCAAGAAAAGGCACCAGCAGCCCGCTATCAGGTATCTTACTTACCGCTATACAGTGAGTCCTCGCTGGCGGGAGGGCATCCTCTTGCTCTAGGCGATCGTTCTCCGCCTGTAAAATACAGAATAGTACCCTACGGAGTGCAAGTGTCTATTACTCCGACAAGGGCAGGAGCGAATAGGCAATGTTGCCAGCCTCCCCCGACCTCCTTTCCCTTTAGCAGACCGGTTTTGGCGTAGCCAATCGCTATATATGGCCCCGCCCTGTACTATTACCAGCGGTTTGCGAAACAATCATAGGGAAGAGGCTGGTTTTTAGTGGCCGGCTGTGGGGGCCAAGCATGCAACGGGTGGTGGCTGGCACGCCTTTCCAAGCTCTGGCGGCCGGTGAGAAACACCAATGAAATTCGTAGGCCTGCCTCGACCACACAACCAGCTGTAAAAAGTACGACTTACACGCCAGATAATCCTGTTGGGATTTACCCGAGATACACCACATGCCCCACGATGCGCCCCATCGTGCATTTGGGTGTGCATACTCTGTTGGTGGCCTTGCACTACGAGTACTCTTCACTCTTGCTTGTACTTTTTCTGCTCTTTGCTTGTCGCAGGCTGTCGCAGCAGGAGGAGATCTCTCCGTCGACAGACGGGGGCATTCTTGACTGAAGTCCTACAGGGACGCTGCATGCCAGCCGGAGGCGGGTTACATGGCGAGACATCTTGCCAGGACGGCCTGCCTGAACCGCTCAGCGCACGGAGTACTCCGTACTTTGTCTGTACCTGCAGGAGTGGGCCTGGCACAGCCGCTGCAGCAGTGCGGCTCGTCAGAACCGCCGGTTCCATGCGCCTCTGGGTGTTGCCACGGTGGCCACGGTGGCCATGATGGCCCGTTTGGCCGCCCGGTTGACCGGCCGGTCGATCCGAGCATGGACACGCCAGACAAGGCCATTTGCCGCAGGCAAGAGACCATCTCGGCCGTGCCGACATCACTCCAACATGCCGGGTTTTGCTCTACTCAGCAGCTAGCATACGGAGCACGGGTGTGCCTTGGCTAGCCAGGGCGTTAAATTAGCACTTGACTAGCCGCTCCGTTGGTCGCCGAATAGCACTAAAGCTACCCTTGTAAGATACTCGTGCACCTGCAAGCAAGAAACCGGCAGAGACGCAGTCTTGTCTTGAAAGTTTGATCGCACTGGCGGCTCCATCTGCTGGGACCAGGAGCCCGTCCTCGAAACATGTTCATCGTGTGTATCTCGCCATTGTTCTATTCGTAGCATGTTTAAGATTGCTCCTGGAGATGAAAGGAGTGCCGTCCCGTGCTTTGCGGCGTTGTATCGCCGCTCATCACAAAAAGGCCCCCCTGTCTTGCAGACGGTTGCCCAAAAATGTCCAAGAATGCTAAAACTATACTCCGTATCTGGCTGCCGTTGCACCCGGCAGCGAGCTCGCATCCCCGAGGAACCGTTTCAGAGCAGCTCTCTGCGGTATGATAGGACTCATGCGCACGGGACACCATCTCATGCAAGGCCGGCGATGGCATTCTGTGGAGAGACGATGTTCTCGCATGGCAACGTCGTCTTCGGCGGCCCCTTGTTACTATCTATGGAGCATCGAACCAGAGCCGCGAGCGGGCGTTGCACCCATGTCTTGGGACTTCATGTTGCCATCTGCAGACGTCTCCAAGCTGCTTGGCGAGGCTGCATCGAGGCTATGATTACGCGCTATCCAAGAGCACACTTGCGCTTCATCACGGCCACATGCAACCACCCGCCCGTTATGCGCTACTTTGCTCGGCGACCGTTGGTGCGAAATCTGCATGGTCGCTGTACATCTCTCTCGCTTCACAACCGCTGCGGCTGTGACAGTACTACTCGTAGTCAGGCGTGGCGAAACATGGATGTGTAGCTCCCGGAATATCAACCGCCTCACCTTGTGCCCACGGCTACCGTTACTATGTAATGGAAGATGCTGACATCTGCAGAATAGCACATTGTGCAAGAATTCGGTACTCGGCAAATTGTTGCGCAACGCTTTATCGACAAAACTACTAGCAAAATAATATCGTACAAATAGCAACTTTCAATAATAAGCTAAAGCAAACAGTGATCCGGCTACCATCTAGATCGTGATCATTGTAGAGTATTCCCAGTTTTCGTAACAGCCTCATCCTTCAAAAAGGAAGCGACACATCTAGTGACAACGGAATCAGACTGTAGAAGCCAGTCTCTCCAAAGAAGCAGCGAGATGGCAGGAAAGCGTTAGTCATAATGTTCTCAATAGGCGGTGAAGGAGCTTGTCCCACGCGAATTCCAAGGTCATGCGTCGGCCTGGAGAAGCTAGCGGCTGCACCATCATCACAGTGTTAATACACTACATATCTACCGCATGTTCTATGCTACGGATCTGATGTACCGGCTTATCGGTTACGCTAAGAGCAAAGCTGCTCTCCTTCTGCCCATTGATCAAAGGATCAAAGAAATCGGCTTACGGATCGCCCTGTTATTTTCCACATCAACAGCACGCCGCAGTCCGCGACGTCCCATGCGAAGCCCACTGCACAGCAACGCTGCACCGCTCCTGTCGAGGTAAATTGGACCGGGTCCCCCTCTCGTCTCTGCTCTTGTCGGAGGTGCTTTCGGCCTCCCCTCACTCAGCCGTGGCGATTTGGTATTTTTTCACCTCTGTCTCAGCCCGAAGCATCTTGAAACAGAGCAGACGGAAGACGCGAGGAAATAAAGCACGAAGGACGACTCCAAAAAGGTGCCACATGTCTCAGCGATACTGACGCGTTTCTCAAAGGCAGGATTCGTTTTGCGCGGCTCTGCAACGGGCGCTCAACGAGTTGCCTCGCCGTTTGATAGAGCAACGAACACTCAGCATCCAATTTCAGCAAACGGGCATCGAGCACACCGCGACCAGATGCAGAGCATCTGACCCGCACAGTCACTCGTCTGCACCGGCGCTTCTGGGTAATTCCCTTCTGAGTGCTGCTGCTTCTCACCGCCACCGTCATGACGGCGCTCACAGCGCAGCAGAACAGCAGCAATCGACCGTCGCCGCTTGACGGCCGCCTCTCTTCGTCTCCCCACAACGTGCCGCACTTCAGGTCGGCCTCTGTCGCACACCCAGCTGCCCGAGGCAGCTCCGGGGCGTCAATGCCTTCCAAAACCGAGACGACCCGCGCGGTGTCGTCGGGCGTGGTGAACCCTCTGGGTGCCCACCGAGTTGTCATTACGCAGACAACAACGACGGGCGAGCCAGGCGGCAGCGCTCGTCTTGCTACGTCTAGTCCTGCCGCCCAGTCGTCAGCTGCTCTGGGCGCCAAGATGCCGGCCTCGTCCGACCGTCTTGCTCCTGTCGGTGGCGATACCGAGTCCGATCGAGACTTTGCCGACCGGCAGCAGCAGCTGCGGGAACGAGAGCGGAATCACCGCCGTGTGGGCAGCAAAACGGGCGGATCCCGGCCTGCCGCTGCCCGGCCGTCGCTCATGCGGTCTAAAAGTGACGTCGCCCGGCCCGTGGAAAACAGCCCAGAGCTGCCTGATACCCTAGACGGAGAAGTCAGCCGCTGGGGGGCCCGCCACGGCTTTGAGGACCACTACCAGTCGGAGGACATCATCTCGCATTTGGCCAGTGTAAGTGATGTCGTCTTCGAATTGCTTTTGTTGCTTTTGTTGCCTTGTGTTTGGCAGCAGGCTGTGAGACCGTGTGACTCGACAGCCGTCTGTCTCCGTGCTACTAGCTGGCAAGTCGCTGCCTAAAGGACTGTTGCGTAGCTTCTCTGCTCCTGCCTGCCAGCTGTCGGCGCTCTTTCCTTTCTCGTGGCCCTTGAGTGATGCGCTTTCCCCACGTCCGAGCTCTGATTTCTACACGCACGTCTTCCTTCTTCCACATCACAGAGGACGTTTCACAGCGGCCAGGCATGGTTGGCTGAGAACATATCTCGTGTGTGTTGTTGTGCCTTTGTCGGCTCTCCGCTAACCACATGTTCATGCGTCGTTCAGAACTGGTACATGTACTTTACCGACAAGCGGCACGAGTCGAACGGAAGGCCACACGAGCCGACGTTTGAGCTGCAGGACTGGCGTATGCGCGACAGACTTAAGACCGTCTCGGCGGCGATTGCAGTCTGCCTTAACATTGGCGTGGAACCGCCAGACCAGCTGCGGACAAATCCCGGAGCCAAGTTGGAGGCATGGCAGGACCCAACGGTGCCTCCTGTGCAAAAGGCGCTCGAGAACATCGGCAAGGCCCTCCAGAGCCAGTACGAGACTCTTGCGATCCGCACACGCTACAAGCAGTACCTAGACCCCTCGGTGGAAGAGACTAAGAAGTTTTGCATCTCGCTGCGGCGCAGCGCCAAGGACGAGCGCGTATTGCTGCATTACAACGGTCACGGTGTGCCGAAGCCTACGGCGTCTGGTGAGATCTGGGTCTTTAATAAGAACTACACTCAGTACATACCCGTTTCGCTGTACGACCTGCAACAGTGGCTGCAGGCACCGACCATCTTTGTCTGGGACTGCTCGGAGGCCGGCAACATCCTGAGCAACTACCACCGCTTTGTGGAGAAGCACGAACAAGAAGAACAGGATGCCGCAAAGGCCGACCCAAATTACGAGAAGACAAACTACCGGCCGTACATCCATCTTGCGGCTTGTGCTGTGAAGGAGAACCTGCCGACTAATCCGCTCATTCCAGCGGACATCTTCAGCTCCTGTCTCACGACACCAATCGAGATGGCGCTCTGGTTCTTTGTGCAGCAGAATCCGCTCAAGACAAGCTTGACCCCAGAGCGCGCCAAGAAGTTACCCGGACGCCTGCAGGAACGGCGTACGCCTCTTGGTGAGCTTAACTGGATCTTCACCGCCATCACCGACACCATTGCCTGGACGACTCTGCCACGCCATTTGTTCCGGAAGTTCTTCCGACAGGACCTCATGGTGGCGGCGCTCTTCCGGAACTTCCTTCTTGCACAGCGGATCATGTCCGTGTACAACTGCCACCCCCAGTCGTACCCAGAGCTTCCGGACACGCGTCAGCACCCGCTGTGGGCCAGCTGGGATCTGGCGGTTGATCAGGCTCTCGGCCAGCTCCCCATGCTCGAGAGACGGGAAACGGACAATATCGAATACGAATACCAGAACTCGACCTTCTTCACCGACCAGCTGACGGCGTTTGAGGTGTACTTGACACGAGGCGACGCGATGCTGCAAAGGCCCCCGGACCAGCTCCCCGTCGTACTGCAGGTGCTGCTTAGTCAACAACACCGTGTGCGTGCCCTCATTCTCCTTGGGCGCTTCCTCGATCTGGGCCCCTGGGCCGTACAGCTCGCTCTCAGCATTGGGATCTTTCCCTATGTGTTGAAGCTTCTCCAGTCTGCTGCGTCTGAGCTGAAGCCGGTGATGGTGTTCATTTGGACGCGTGTGCTAGCCGTTGACATTTCCTGCCAGCAGGACCTCATTAAGGACAGTGGGTACAACTACTTCGCATCCATCCTCAAGCCGTCGGAGGGCCTCCCTGTGGTCAACACGGACGAACACAAGGCCATGTGCGCGTTCATTCTGGCCATGCTTTGCAAGGGCTACAAGCCGGGTCAGACAGTGTGCAACCAGACGGACATCATGACGTTTTGCCTGATCCATCTGCGAAACGAGGAAAACCCGCTTCTGCGGCAGTGGTCATGCCTCTGCATCAGCCAGTTGTGGCAGGATCTTCCGGAGGCGAAATGGCGCGGCATCCGAGAGAATGCTCCCTTGAAGCTCTCGTACCTGGCAAAAGACAGTATCTGCGAGGTTCGCACGGCCATGCTCCATGCTATGACGACACTGCTGGGCATACCGGAGCTGACCGACGAGGTGGCCCGTGTTGAGGAGTCGATAGCCTGGACGGTGCTTGATCTGACCAACGACGGCAGTCCGCTTGTGCGCAAAGAGCTGCTGGTGTTCATGTCCCACTTCCTGCTGCGGTACGAGAGCAGGTTTCTGGTTGCCGCATACGAGCATCTGCAGGAAGAGAAAGAACACCTTACTTTCCCGCCCGAAAACACATCTTCGGGCTACAAGACGGGACTCCACCATGTCGGTCCGGAGAACCGCAACCGTGACGGCACGGCAAAGGAGCGCGCTCACGGGCTGTCACAGAGCACGATTTTCGCGACCTACTGGAAGCACATCCTGATCCTCTCTGTCGATCCCCATCCCGAAGTGCAGTCGCACGCTATGACCATTATCGACTATGCCCAAGAGATGCTGCTTCACTCGGTCGTTGGCGCCTACGCACAGACCCTCATGGATGAGATCGAAAGAAAACACCGACGTCTATCGAGGTCAGGTCCCCGGAACAGCTCAACCCTTATGGCAAGTGTTTCGGACCTCGGCAGCAATAGCCTCAGCGGCAGCACAAACTGTATCGGGAGTGGCGCCGGTAACGGAGCTGGTCCGCTCGGCAACGGAAACACGAACGGCAACATGTCGCCTCAGCCGTCGCCAGGCCTTCTGCGGCGGACGGTCAGCACGCTTTTCTCGCCCTTTTTTGGCAGCGACGGGCCGGGTGCCGGCCAAGCATCGGCTGGCATGCCGACAGGACCGTCCGGACTTGAGGCACCAATGTCGCCGGGGCTGCTGCGATCGTCTTCGACGTTTCAGCGAGGTTCTGGCAGAACACGTGGGCTATTCGGGCCCGATCGTGCTTCTGCGCCGCCGGAAGACAGCGAGCGGGAAACAACAATGTCTGCGTACAACGTGGCCAAAGAGCCGGTGTCGCCTGGTTTTGAGCAGCGAGCGGCAACGGACGTGCCTTGTTTGCCGCTGGTAAGCACGTTCTTGGAATGGTCGACAGAGTACTTCCGCGAGCCACAGATGCGAGCGATGGAAGCCGAGGAGCCGGGCAGCACAGAGTACAACGAGCGGCTGTGGCGGCGATCGCGAAACGAGGGGATCCTGCGGGAAACACAGCCACAGAAGCCGTTTGCGGGATCCCACAAGTGGAACAACCAGCTGGGAATCATCAACAACGGGTCGCAGCCGTCACGGATGACGTTCCATCAGTTTGAGGACCACCTGGCAGTGGCGGACGATGGAAACACGATTCAGATCTGGGACTACAAGCGACAGGGTCGACTGAGCCGATTTTCCAATGGCAACCCGCCGGGATCGCGAATCAGCGACATGAAGTTCATCAACGAGGACGACCAGGCGTTCCTGATGGCGGGATCGTCAGACGGCGTGCTGCGGGTGTACCGACGCTACGACAGTGACAAGCAGGTGGAGCTGGCAACGGCATGGCGGGCGCTGACGGACATGGTGCCGAGCAACGTGCACGCGGGCATGGTCTTTGACTGGCAGCAGGTGACGGGCAACGTGCTGGTGGCAGGCGACGTGCGGGTGATCCGGGTGTGGAACGCAGGCCACGAGTCGTGCGTGACGGACATCCCGGCACGATCGGGATCGTGCGTGACGTCGCTGACGAGCGACCAGATGACGGGCAACATGTTTGTGGCCGGATTTGGCGACGGAGCGGTGCGGGTGTTTGACACGCGGCTGCGACCTCAGGAGGCGATGGTGCGCAAGTGGAAAGACGACGCAGACCGGGTTTGGATCAAGAGCGTGCACATGCAGCGTGGCGGCCAGCGGGAGCTACTGTCGGCAGCACGCGACGGCAAGGTGAAGCTGTGGGACATTCGTAGCGACCATCCGCTGCGAGTGATGCAGACGACGGGACAGACATTGCGGACAGCCAGCACGCATGAGCATCTGCCGGTATTTGCGATGTGAGTATTGGTTCATTCCCCCATACACGTATCATGCTAACACTGCACAGAGGCACATCGTCTCGGGAGGTCAAGGTGTACAACTTTGACGGACGAGAACTGTCCCGGCTGGAGCCATATTCGGGCTTTCTGCAGAGCCGCAGCACGCCCATCTCGGCGACGGCATTCCACCCTCACCAGGTGACGCTGGCATGTGCTGCACGGGGCGACTACCACATCAATCTTTTCAGCTGCTCGCAGGAGCGGGCCGTTGCAGCGGAGTGACACAAAGGGGGCCGCGGCAGATGTTCATGATGGGTGATGGGCAACGGGCTGTCTGGCTTGGCAAGGACGGCATCAGCAGTAATGGCACCATGGATGGTTATGTCTGTTTTTGGAGTGATAATGCACAGCTCCGCGTCCTCGGCTCCACGGCTCTGCTGCCGTTATGAGACGGAGGAAAGCTGCAGACTGCGGCAGGCTGTAAGTTATGGAGTAATACGGTAATGACAGAAAGTAAGTGTGTATCGATATCGGGTGTCTGCATGCTCATTTGTGCCATAAGTAGTATACAATACGAGTAGTAGACATAATCAAAGCATAGTGCACTGAAGATTTGTACGTGCCAATTGAATCCCATTGATTGGGCAGCAGTGTATAATCTGACGGCCCTAGACAAAAATACAGAACCCAGTGTCCAACGCCTCAGCCATTGCCGTATGCCGCAAACGGGTCACGTGACCCCAGTCCAATAAAAAGCCCTCGTTCAAGCTGCCACACGCTCGCTGTTCAGACGCCGTCCAAGTCCATGTCTGGTTGGCCAGCCCAGGTGCTGGCGTCGAGGAAGGGGGCCTCGTCAAAGTCGTCGGCGCCGTTGACGTTTTCCTGGCCGACGATCCGGACGTCGGCTCGACCTGCTTTGGAGAAGCAGAGCAGGGTCTGGGTCTGGGGCAGTCGTCTTCGCGGCACGGCCAGCAGGCGTCGGTTCTGTGGAATGGAGCCGGTGGTGCTCCAGGCCGCCGGGCGGTCTTCGTTGACGTCGTCGTCGTCATCGTCGTCGTCCGACGGGCTGCCGTACAGACGCTTGCGCGTGGCCGGTGGCGGGCACAGGTCCATGCCGTCGTCCGACGACACCGTCTCCTGGCTGCTGGTCAGGCTGGGCGGCTCGACCGGATCGACCGGATCGACGTCGCGGTGGCCGGACAGCTCGTCGCCCTCGTCGGCCGTCGACAACGACTGCACGCCCAGCCCGCCGACCCGGTGGATGCCGCAGAACGGAAGCAGCTCGCGCTGTGCAGCAGCCGACAACCCGCCCGCATGTCCGTGTCCGGGTCCGTGTCCGTGTCCGGGTCCGTGTCTCGCTGCTGGCCATAGTTCCTTGCCCGTCTTGTAGCCCTCGGGCACGGACTTGCGCACGCGCATGCCGACGGCCAAAAGGTCGGCCTGCACGGACGGCGGCAGAGACGCGACCGACGCCGCAGACCGGCTGCCGTCGTCGTGGCTGCTGTGCGTGGCCGCACGCACGGCCGTCGCTTCGTCGTCGCAGACAAAAAAACTGGTAATGTGGCGCTGCGCCGGATCGCTGGCTGCGCCCGCAAAGGGTCGCTTGGTGCGGTGCGTCGGCATGGTCGCAGCCTGTCTGCTCGGTGTGCTTCGCTCGTCCGGGAGCGGTTGGCTTAGGCTTTGCTTGTCTTGGGGCCTGGACCGGTTGCAGACGGCTGACAAAAAGTAGGATGGAAAGTGGGAAGCAGCAGATGAAAGCAGGAAAGCCAATGGCTGCAAGGTTGAGTGGCTGGCAAGGCGTTTGTCCGAAAGAGGACTAGGGCCAATTAAAGTGAGCGCGTTCGCGTCGCGTCTTACATTCATGTGCCGTCTGTCACGCGACAGCTTCGAACCAACTGGAGATTATATAAGCATACAATTAAAAAGTATCTTCTATGCTGTTCATGCTGCCCGACTTGTCGGCCACGGACTGCGAAAGGCTAGCAGGTCTCTCTGCCCATAGAACTCGCCTGCCACTGCCAGCACCATCTCCAGTGTTGCCCTCTGGTACATGTCGACATCGACAGCGTTGTCCAGGTCTTCGAGGGTGACTGGTTTGGTTGGTTCGCCTTTTGCAGTCTCCACCTCTGTTCCTGCTTCAGGTTCTGACTCCACGTCCATGGCAATATCCTCTGCCTCGTCCTCGTCTTCTTTCACCTCACTCTCTCTGTCCTCCCCCCCTCCGTCCTCCACCTCGCCCTCTTCCACGTCGTAGCTCAGATGTGCCAGCCGCATCACCGCCTGCTTCGCCACGTCCCGGATGTAGCCCACCTCCACGTACCCGAGCTCGCCCCGATCGGGCAGCCGTGCCAGCACCGCCCACAGCCACCGGCTCGTGCGGTCATCCATGTCGAGCCCGGCCGGCTGCCCATCCTTCTGGTCGTGCCGGCCACGTCCCGGCTTGCTGTTGTTGCTGCCGGCCAGCCAGCGGGCAAACCGGCCCGACCGCGACGACCGCGACGACCCTGACCCGCCGACCAGCAGGCCGCGCAGCAGCACGCGCAGCAGCCGGAATGCGCTGACCCGGTCCATGGCCGCCATCTGGGCAGGCAGCGGGTCTGTCGTCTGCAGCAGCAGCAGCCAGCGCGCATACGCGCCCGATCGTGTGCTGAGCGGCGCCACCGCTGTGTCGTGGCCGGCCGGCAGCGTCGCCACTGCCTCGGCCGGCGGCACCTGCTGCAACAGCGTGCGCAGCTCACCGAACCGCCGGAGCAGCTGCTCGCGGAAGACCGCGCTGAAGCGTGCCGTCTCCGCGTCGACGCCCCCTCCGACAGATCCGTCCAGCTGCCCGAAAGCCTCTCTCCCGTGACCTTGACCGCCCAACGCTGCCGGCTCGGGCGCCGCCGTGTAGGCCCCGTTCTGGTAGTAGCCGCGGCTGTCTCCCACGCCGTTTTCGTAGAGACAGTGGTCGTAGTAGTGCTGGCGTCGGCTCCCCTCGGTTTCGTTTTCGTTTTCGTGGCATTGGCCTTCTTCGCCGTCTTCCGCTTCTGCTTCTGCTTCTGCTTCTGCTTCTGCCTCCTCGCCTTCCTCGGCCTCTCCTCCCTTGTCCTCGGCCGCTGCTGCCACGACTGCCATTTCACTTTCGTCGTCGTACGACAGCTCTGCCGGTGCGCCTTTCTGGCCTGACAGGCACGGCCTCTTGGCCGCGCTCTGGCCGTCGTCCTGCTCGTCCCAGTGACGGCGTCGTCGCCGCCGCTTCTGCTTCGATACGCCACTCCCCTCCACCATCGAGTCCGTCACGTGTCGTGGGAAGGCCTGTGGTCCATGTCGGGGCGCGATCATCACGTGGGGAATCTTGCCAGCTTCCGCTCTGTCGGCCACCAAAGCAAGATCAGTAAAACCATTTGTTTACGTCGGTATTCGGCTGCACGGAGAGATATAAAGGGAACAGAGGAAAAAGTCTCAGCCAACTGCACTGTCACACGCCGTCTTCGCTCGAAACAAGGGGCACGCTGGTGATAGCTTACCGTACGAGACGCAAATAGTCCAGAGCTTCCTGCTCGTCTTCGACGTCGAGATCCTCATCTGCGATCGCCGTCGCCTGGCCTGCGATTCCAAAGACACTGCGCTGTCCATATGTCGGGTCGACTGCCGACACTGAGTCGCGGCCTGTTGCCCAGCCGGAAGCCATACTTGCGGCCGTTGTCGTGCTTTGGTGGTGTACTCAGTAAAGTTAAGAGATGTCGAAGAAGCTTGCATTTTATTAGTGGGTCGTTGTTGTAAAACATGCTGGCGCCTGCTGAGATTCACTTGGCTCCACTATGCAGCAGCGACCAATCTACGCTTGGCATCGTACAAGGGGCCAACAAGCCTCAATCACTCTACACGCGACAGATCACAACGGGAGGTCTGGGCCAAACAACGTCTGGGCTAGTGATTTAGTAGATTTTCTTTCTTTATTTTTTTTGTTTGATGCAAGATATCCGGATCCTAAACGCCCCTATATACTTTTGGTCGTTTTTTATGAGGTGATTGTTGGCTCCATCTTCTATCCGCTGGTAGTGACGTTCATCTTCATGTCCGGCCAAGGGCGAGAATCGGTTCGGTTCGGTCGTTAGGGGCGGGGTCGGTCCCCGGAGGTGATGTCGAGGACCGTAGGAGTGTGCCGCGTGCGTCCGGGCAGAGCGACACGGCACAGGAAACGAATAGGAAAAAAAGAATAAGAGAAAGGGTCCAACCCAACCCGCCGGCCTTCACCTGTTTCCTCGATCCAATGCCCAGCCGATTCCCTGCCACATGGCCGTGAGTGTCCAAAGGGGTGTTGCGTTTTCATAGTCGAAACATGGTCCCCCTACCCCACGGAGAACGAAATCAAAACAACAGAAAAACAAACGGAGACCCGCATCCTCTCAACACACACACACACAGACACACCCACGACATGGAAAAAGGAAACGGCCCATCACGCGAGCGTGCTGTCTACTTTCTCCGGAAAGAGCAGCCCTCGGTCAATCTCGCCTTGCCACCGGTCGGTTGGCACAGCACCGTGGTGCAGCCTTGGCAGATGACCACCGTCTGTGCGTGCGAGAAGACGGTCGTGATGGTGAAGCAGCCGGGGCACTTGACGTCCATGAAGAAGGAGCGGGGGGTGGGCACCAGGGTCTGTCGTCGTGAGTCAGTATCGAGGCGCATCGCACGGCAGCCAGGATCGCTTGTCGGTGCATACCTTGAGCTTGTGCTTCTTGGCCTCAGCAGCAGCGCTGGGGTTGAGCAGATCGACGGCCAAAGTCTGAAGAGCAAAAAGAGTCAGCACGTCATTCCTGTGGCAGGCCGTGACAATGATATCGAGATCCGCCAGCTTGTCATCCCCCCGGCTGCCCCGTCGCCCTCCATGCGCTCCTTGGCATTCTGCAGCAGCGGAGAGCGTGCGAACAGGCTCCTGTCTCCTCCCCCCCTCTAGACAGTCGGAATTGCCCCGTAGCCGAGACGATGACAGCAAAACAAACAACACTGCGGTTCAGAACGCACCATATTGACGGAAAAGTTGGGTTATCGTAGAGATCGATAAAGGTTCGAGCGAAAAAGAATTCGAAGGTCGAAAGAAAATCTGCGTGTCTGAAGACGGCAGATCTAGCGCTCGAAGTTGTTGGAAGAAAAAAAATTAGATGACTTTGGGGACGGATGGGTGGTAAAGTGAGAGGAAGAAAAAAAAAAGAGGGCAAAGGGAACGGACCAGGAAAATTGTGCACTGCAAATTGGGAGAGGGGAGAAGAAACCAGGCAATTTCTCGCACGTCAATTATCTAACCCATTTTCAGTTTAGTGCTTTAGGGTTTTGCTTCTACACAGTCACGTGAACATGTCTCCACATGAGAGCCTGCCCGAACAGGAATAGGCTCCTAGCTTCAACGTCAACCCCTCTACTGCAGCCAATGGCGTAGTGCTTGGGGACTCTCTTCACAGACATCAGGCAAAGCAGCTGACCGAGCCAGCAGCCTATTTTCGCAGGACATTGTCCTTGTGAAGCAGACGCGCGTCAACAGGACACAATGACAGCACCGGTGGACCAGCGGATAGCGGTTCCGGTGGACGACCCCAATGCGGACACAGAATGGTGAGTCTGGCCGATGGCAGTACAGGTGTCCGTCTGTGGCCGGCAAGCTGACCGTGTGGCGGGTTCGTGCGTGCAGGAACGACATTTTACGCAAGCACGGCGTCATCCCAGAGAAGCCGCCGAGCCCGACCCCGATGATCGAGGAGGCCATAGCCGAGGGCCGACGGCTGGCGCACGAGAACCGGCTTGAGGGCAAGGACCTGGACGAGCTGGACGAGTTCGAGGACGTGGAGGACGAGGACTTTCTGAACGCGTACCGCCAGCAACGCATGCAGGAGCTGCGCAGCCTGACGAAAAAGGCCGTCCACGGCAGCGTGTACCCGCTGACGAAGCCCGAGTACGGCCGCGAGGTGACGGAGGCGTCCAAGGGACATGGCGGCGACAACGAGACGACAAGCACGGGCGTGCCCGTGCTCGTGCTGCTGACATCGTCGGCCGGCACCAACATCGAGTCGCGCGTGCTGTCGGAGCTGTGGTGCCAGGCCGCCGCCGAGTACGGCGAGGTCAAGTTCTGCGAGATGCGGGCTGAACAGGCCATCGAAGGCTATCCGGAGCGCAACTGCCCGACCATCCTGGTGTATCGCAACGGCGACATTGTCAAGCAGGTCGTCACGCTCGTGATGCTCCACGGCGTCAAGACGAACATGCTCGACATCGACTCGCTGCTGGTCGAGGTCGGCGCCGTGCCCGACAACGACATGCGCGTGATCAAGCGGCGACGCACGGCCGAGGACGCCGAAGAGGAGCGTCTGGCCGGCACTAGCACCATCCGGTCAGGCTTCGGTGGGACGCCGGCCAAGGACGGCGACGACGACGACGACTGGGACTGAATAGATGGGAAGGGGGGCTTTGGCCGGTCCCCGGGCCCCGGGAGGGAAAGGCATGGTGGCGCATGACGCGCCCACGGCATCTTCCAGACGGACAGCCAAGCGTCTCGGAGTGGGGACTTTTACAATTCCCTGACCGAGGCTCAAATTGGCCCAGAAATGGACTGGAGTCTCTGGCTGTCTCATATCACCTGTGTGTGTATATACATAACAGAAACTGTGTGTAAGCGACATGCACCGTGTCGGCACTGTACAATGACAGAACCCACTAATGCCTGACATATCTGGCAGCAAGGCTGAACCCCGCAGCAGCCAGATAAGATAAGATGCGCCCCGCTAAAATAGCAGCATCTGCAACGAATGGCCTCGGGCCTGTTTGCGCCTCGAGCCTTTTCACGATACAACCGCCTGCATATCGCTGACCAGGCTCCCACGCACGCAAGATCCGCTCCGTGCGCCACTACAGCCATAGGTCGCCATCGCAAGCAGCGTCACCGGCAACGGTGGACGTCGTCCGATCTGACCCCGTCCGCCCCGTCTCGCCGCCGTGCCGCCAACAAGATGGGACAGGAGGCCTCGAGCCAGATCGACGAGAGCGTGCCGCCAGTCACGCTGAGCGAGCGCAGCATCGAGGCCGTGGCACGCTACATCCGGGACGGCCGGGCCCGCAAGATTGTTGCCCTGACGGGCGCCGGCATCTCGACAGCCGCCGGAAGTGCGTGACCGGATCACGGGCCCCCCTTTGATCGAGTCTTTTTCCGCTCTGTTCCCTGCTCCCTGCTTACGCTGCTGCACACAGTCCCCGACTTCCGCTCGCCCGGCACGGGCCTGTATGCCAACCTGAAGCGGCTCAACCTGCCGTACGCCGAGGCGGTCTTCAGCATCGACTACTTCCGGCAGAATCCGCGCCCGTTCTACGTGCTAGCCAAGGAGCTGTACCCGGGCCAGTTCCATCCAACCGTATCGCACGCCTTCCTCGCCCTGCTGGCATGCAAGGGCCTGCTCAACATGCTGTTCACCCAAAACATTGACTGCCTAGAGCGCGCCGCCGGCGTGCCAGCCGACCGCATCGTCGAGGCCCACGGCTCCTTTGCCACGCAGCGCTGCATCGACTGCGGCACCGCCTTCGACGATGCAGCTATGCGCGATCACGTGAGAGAGGCCCGCGTCCCGCGTTGTGGTCAGCCTGGTTGTGGCGGCCTCGTCAAGCCCGATATCGTCTTCTTTGGCGAGAGCCTGCCGTCACGCTTTCACGAACTCACCCACGAAACGCCCTCCAGCGACGGCACTGACCTGCTGCTCGTTCTCGGCACCTCGCTGACCGTCTACCCGTTCGCCGGCCTGCCGTCGCTGGCCCCCGACGGTGTGCCGCGTGTGCTCTTCAATCGCGAGCAGGTCGGCGACCTTGGCGAGCGCCCCGACGATGTCCTCGCCCTCGGCAGCTGTGACGACGGCGTGCGCCGCCTGGCCGCTGCCCTCGGCTGGCAGGATGAACTCAACCTCTTCTGGCGTCAGCTTGTCGGCGACATCGAGGCCGATCGCCAGCTGCGCCAGGATGTGCTTCTCGTACCGCCGCCGGTCAGCGAGAGCTCAGAGGATGAGTCAGAAGAAGAGAAGGAAGAAAAGGAAGAAAAGGAAGAGAAAGAGGAGGAAGTGAAAGTGAAAGAGAAGGAAGAAGAGAAGGAAGTAAAAGAGAAGGAAGAGAAGGAAGTAAAAGAGAAGGAAGAGAAAGAAGAGAAAAGGAAGGAAGAAAACAAACAGAATGAGACGGAAAAGGAGACGAAACAGGCCGGACAAACTTCCGCTTCAGTCCGTCCGGCAGCTGCTGACGAGGTTGACGAGATCGCTGACGAAATTGCTGCCATCCTGCGTTTGGATGCAAACACCGACAAGAGTGTGGCTGGAGCCTGAAGATGCTGACGCTGGACGCCAGCACAGGCAAGAATGGTGGCCAGGTTTAAGACTCTGGACACCGATGGTTTGGCGGTTCAGGCGTTTATATTTTCTGCACTTTCAAAGTTCCTTGCTACCTCTGTGGTGGAAAAGAACATGTTGATATCATACCCGCTGTAGTTGCGCTATTCTGATATACTCGCTCGCTTTAACAAAACTAGCAAAAAACATGCTTGACGCTTGACTGGATATCCAAGATAGAACAGAACCTCCCCCGCAACCCGGTACAATTAGAATAATGGATTTGTCCGCCAGAGTATGCTGTAAAAGGTATACTTGTATGTCCCAGTCCCCGGTCTATCGCAAACAAAAGAAAATAGGAATACAGCACAAACCCTCTCAACTCCAGTCTAGGAAGATGTTCCGTTCCGTCTTTTTTAGTCTTCCCACCAGCAACCCCCCTCCCGTACATAAAACAGAGACAGAAAAGAACAGACCAATTGCTGTATCAAGGCGCCAGGGGAGCAGTGTGCAAGGCGGGCTTGGCCGTCTCACCGGCCGTCCCCAGACTTCCACTCTTTTTCTTCTCGAGCACTTCGACAGCCCAGGCTGCAACCTCCTCGTCGCCTGCGACGGGAGGGGGATCTGATACATCTTCAGAGCCTTCTGTGGACAGATCGACAGATTCCATCTTTTGGACCACGTCGTCCGAATCCGAGCCGGTGCTAGTAGAATCCTCGTTTTCTACCTCCTCGATGGTCTCATCTTTGGCCAGCGACTTAAGCCAGGGGTGCTTGAGAAGCATCGAGTATGTATGCCGTTTCAGCGGATTCTTGTTGAGGCACGACCGCACAAAATCATGGGCCGTGCTTGAGTAATTGTCGGGCATCACTGGCGGCTCGCCATTAACGATAGCCTAAAACACGTCAGTTTCACAAGCACAGAAACACAAAGATGAAGGGGTTGTACGCACGCTTAGCTGGCTAAAGATGGTAGAGGACACCTCGGGTGGATATGGATAGCGGCCCATGGCACATTCGATAATTGTCAGGCCGAGACTCCAGATGTCGGATTGGACGCTGTAGGTGCCCTGCGCATTTGCTCCGCCTGAGGCCAAGCTGCCGCCAGAGATTCGCTCGGGTGCCATGTAACTCTGGCAGCCGATGTTAGTCTTTGCTATAGACGAGACTAGGTTGCCGCTGACGCCAAAGTCGCAAATCTTGACCTGGCCACGCGTGTTCACTAGGATGTTTGTCGGCTTGACGTCGCGGTGAATGATGTTGTGCTCGTCTTTAAGCGACTTGAGGCCTATCACGGTCGAGTATGTGATCTTGCGCAGAACTGGCTCGGGTATACCGCCGGCGTAGAGCTTGTCAATGGAGCCGCCGTCCATGTACTCGATGCACATATATACAGCACCCTCTTGGTAAAAGGCACCGTAAAAGTCGATAATGTACGGCGACACACATTCGTGCAAGATAACCAGCTCCTTGAGGATAGTGGTAAATTTGGCCTCGTCCAGCTCCAGGCGTATCTCTTTCATGGCCATCACCTTGCCTGTCGTAGCATCGGCAGCGGGTCCCCGGCTGGCTGAGTCGGCGCTGGCCGATCCTTCGCCTATCGCCGGGCTGTTCGCCGAGCCGGCTAGTGACTGCTGTGGTGAAGCGGTGGGCGGGGAAATGGAAGAGACGCTGGACGGAGGGATGTGTGGCTGCTTGAAGCCGCTAAGGCCTGGCCCAAAGCGCGGCTTTGCAGGCTTTGCATGACGTGCTTTATAAACGGTGCCGTAGTTGCCCTTGCCCAGCTCTTCGAGCACCTGGATCTCGTCCAGTGATATCTTAAAAGTGTGGCCTCCGGCAAAGTTGACGCCGGTCCGCGTGATGGTGGCCGCACCCTCAAAGGTGATCCAGCCTTTCTCGGCGTCGATGTAGTGCTTGAAGTCGCTTATGCGCGAGCTGTTGCGGCCGCCGTTCAGACCGGCGCGACCAGGGCCGCTGCCACCACCGTCCATGTCCGACAGCTTTGGTGGCCCTTGGGATGACGCGCCGCCGGGACCACCGGGTAATGGTCCCAGTTTCATAGCTCGGCGCTCACTAAGACTCGGCCCACCTCTCCGGCCGGATGCGCTCGGCACACTGGGAGCTGACTGGTGAAATCCAGGCGGCCCTGGCCGAACTATGCCGCCAAGCCCCATGTTCCTATTAAGATGGGCGGGCAGGCGCATGTTGCTAGCGATGCCGCCGGCCAGAGCACCCCCAAGGCTGGCATGCGAAGCGTCCGAGAGTGGGCCACTAGCGCCACCTGGAGAGTGCGGTGACATAGCCATGCGCTTCTGTTGCAGGGCGCGGGCCTTCTGCATCAAGTCCTGTGGCAGGTTCCCGGCAGACGGAGGAGGGCGTCGAGCATTGTTGAGAGTTCCACTAACGGTCGAGGTCGAACTCATGTAGCCGACAGTGCTGGTCTGCGGGTCGGAGACGGTGCGAAGAGAGGGCAAGCGCCGCGGTGACTGTGGCAAGTCTGCCGGCTGCTGCGAAGACATTGGCTGTGACAGGGACGGTGACAAATCTGCGGCGTGTTGGGAGGAGGCTGCGGGATCGAATCCCCAGTTCGGACGGTCACGACCAGCCGTGTCGTCTCTAGAGTCGATGGAGCCGCCCGAAGCCGGGCCGCTGTCGCATTCTTCGTCCGGGGTGCCCGGTCCGGAGCCTTGGTCGTGGTCCATGGCGACAGGAAGAGGCAGGATAGAGTTATGTAAAGAAGCGGAGGAGAGGAAGAGAAGGAGAGGCGAGGAAGGCAGAGAACGAGGGGAAAAAACTGGCGTTATTGTGGCTCTCGCATGTGTGTGTGAGTGGATGGCGTCTATGTGGAGAATGCTGGCCTTCTTTTTTCGGTGTCTCGTATTTCTGCAGAGGCCTGTATCCGGGACTTTGTCTTGGAGTGCTCGACACAATGTCTGCTGGCGTGTACACGAAACGATGACTAAAGGAAGGTCCAGAGAGGCTGGAGGGGTCTCGGTTTTGATCAGAAACAACCAGATTGGATACGACGGGCCTTCAGAGCATCTAGACCCCACGATGACGAGATTATGTGAGGCTCGATCAACGTTCAGTATCGAGTGACCTCCCGCTGCTGCCGCTGTTGCGTTGCTGTGTCGGCTCTGCAGGACCACAAGTCTTGCCGGACGAAAGCGGTTGGCTCAGGCACAGCTGCTAACCTCTGGGCGGGGCACACAGCTCCCTTGGGTACGGTTGTCGCGGCGGTCGACAATCGAGGCGAACGTTCGAAGCTCGCTGTCAGTGGATGACGAAATGCTATCAGCTGGTGGGGAAGAGGGGGGCTTTTGCCGTAGCTGGGACAGCCGCCCGTTCGGTTACCGGTGCGGATGGCTGGGCGACAAAGAGCGAGTGAAAGATAGAATAGTGGGCAGGGAGGAGACCGGAAGCAGAGAGGATGAAGGGAGAAGAGGAAAAGGAAGAAAGTCGAAAAAGGGCGAGGAAGTCGAGGCAATCTGCCGTTGCTTTAAGGCGGAAGCTTAGGGAGCGAAAACCAAATTAAGCAAGGGCGACTAAGATGGAAAACGGAGAGATTGACTCCAGGCAAGTACAATGACTATGCTATCTGGGCCGGTTAGGTCGTGCCTGCCGCAACTGGGTGATGTCGTCAAGTCTTCTTGCCTGAGCTGGCAGACCTTTCAGAAGAAGGGATTGATATTAATATATCTCTCACATGCCGATCGCAGCCCATGCACCCTCTGCAAGCAACGTTCCTCGCGTGTTGGTGCTGCAGTTTATCGATGCCCCTTCCTTTTTCCTCTTTTCTCCTCTTTTTTTAACCTTTCTTTTTACGACGTGTTTTTCCTTCCTGCTGCCCTTCTGCTATCGGTGCCCCTCCTTGTTGTATGAGTAAGTTACAAGCTTGGCTCCACTCTGTTTTGAGCTTTCCTCCAGACTCGGGCGCGACTCTTTTTTTTCCCCTTTCGTCCTTACTTCTTCTTTCGTCTCTGTCTTCCTCTTTCATGCTTCCCCCTTCCTATTTCCTGTTTCCTGCTTCCTGTTTCCTCTTTTCCCTTTTCTCTACCTCTCTCCACCTTCAGGCAGCCATGTCCTGATGCCAACCCTAATTTCTGCTCTAGGGCACAGCGGACCGGATGCAAGATGATGCTTTGCGCGCGCAACATCGAACCACCCGACGATGACCAGCTTTTGTCGGCCTGCACCCCGGTCCATGCGCAGTCCCTGGATGATGCCCAATCGTGGTGCCGGTGTTAAGGCAAGCCTATGACGTTGATGGCCACGCTGTGGCTTGACAACCGACCAGTGAGACGGGCCTCCGTCCAAGGTTGTGATTGACGGGCCAGCCGAACGGGAGCGGATCGCCACCAAGTTCCTGGCAGAGTGTCATTTTTTTTAGCCCTGGGCCTGCAAGATGTTCGTGTGGTTCTACTGTCTCCACCCCATTCGCTTCTTCATCCTTGTCCTCCGTGGCAAAACCCCATTGTGACTAGAACCTGAAACACCGGTATCCAGATGAGGCGCGAGCACGTTGGGTAGCTCTTGCATGGCAAGATGCGTCTTCGCTGGTGCGCCCCGGCTGTACGGCTGTAATACTCTGCTTATCGCATTCTACTGACATTGCTGCCCTGCCGATCCTGATTCCTGAATGCTCGACTCGGGCCAAGGCATGCCGCCTCGATGACGACCTCAACCACGCCTTGCTGCTGCCACAGATTGCAGGAACAGTCGTGATGTGCTGCTATTTCGGCGTCTTTGGTCTTGTTTCACTGTCATTGCTTTTTCCGGTTTTATTGCCATCGCTTTTCGCCTCCTCACCGTCCAGAAACGGGCTCTGGAGGCCTCCTTGACAACGGACTGGCGGCTTAATCGTGTTTGCGGCGACGAGCACATGTCGTCGCCGGTGTCGTGCCGGTTGTAGGGTGGCATGTCCACACGCCAATAGGCATACGACGTTGAGGCGTGGCGCAACCGAAATACAGGATTTCCGGATGCCAAAATGTGCGAGATTCTGCGAGACGCACACGTTTGTAAGCGTGGCATTACCCGTGCACACCTTGACCCGGCATTGCCAGAGGTGCCCGTTTGAGACTTGCCATCTCGGTCTTGTAGACAATCAAAATATCTGACGTAAACAGGCCGGCAAAGACGGGACAATGCAAGGCGATGGATAAACCGGACGCCACAATCGCGCTCAGTTGGTGGCCACGACCGACAGCCACAACCTAAAGCCACGATCCAGATGCTTGGGTCGTGGGGTCCAGGGGTTGTTGTCCGTGGCAAAAGGTCACGAGCTTTGCTGAAACTCGTGCGAGAAGCGTCCGGCTCCGACGGAAGATTGCCGGCCTGTTCACCGGCCTGTTTCTGCTTCTCCGGTCGCTACGACACAAAGACAGGAATAGCAATGACAACCATTCTCAAAATATAACAAAACCATAACAGAAACCGGCTTCTGCCCTGGATGCTAGTTCTTCGTTGGGCATGCACCGCCGCAGCTCTGTCACGGCTCTGTCACGGCTCTGCCTCAGCTTTTCCCTAGGCAGCAACCTTTCTTTCAGGCCCAATTGGCCCGCTATCGGCTAGTGCTGTCTGGCCATTGGGCCGCTGTAGATCAAACTGCGCCCCCCTGTCTACGTGAGACAAAGGGTGTGTTGCCTGCTAGAAACCCTCTACCAAGTCCTCGCAGCGCTCGGCCAAAGGTGCCAAGCCTGCTCAGCCAACCAGCCCCCCCTTATCTCGCTCGGCCACATGTCTCCATCTGTCGTCGTCACTCGCCCAATCGACGCAATCGCGCTATCACCCCATCGAGCTAGCGCCGGGCTGTATCCAGGTATTCCGACCGTGTAAACTCTGCCAAACGGTACGTGCCAAGCGATCGCCACTGCCACTGCTTCGCAGGTTCCCAAAAAGAAACAGCGCACTCGTCTCGTCATTTCGCCTTCTCTTCTCGTCAGCCCCTTCTTCCTCCTCTTTTCTTCCTTCCCTCTTTCGCGGAAGTCACAATCCAACAGCTGGTCTGCCCTCCCACATCGATTGTCGCCAGATACCATCTCACCTTTGCTAGGCCGCGCCTGCCGGCTTCTCTCAATTTCGCTCCTAACACACCTAGGCGCCTCTCGAACTCTCTAGACGGCGATCGCCCTACTATCCGCAGCCCAAATTCAATAGCGTCATCTGATTGCAAGCTCTTTCGCCTCTCCGGAGTTAGAAAAAGTCGTGGAAAATACTCGTAAATAAACGCCATTCGATTCCTAGATCCTCGCAGACAACTCTCTCTCCCTCTCCTTACCGGCATACCGCCTTTGGGCAATCGACTCGCCATGGCCGACTACATCGCCGGCGTCTCCGAGATGCCAATACTGGCAACCACGATGAATTCGCACGACTCCCATCCGTCATTAGGACACCTGACGCTGCTCGTCTTCGAGGCCGTCATGGAAGTCGTCTGTGTCAGCTTGCCGGGATACATTATCGCCCGGCTCGGCCATTTTGACGCAGACAAGCAAAAGTTCCTCGCGAACCTGAATGTCATGCTTTTTACACCCTGTCTGAGTACGTTTTCGTTATCTTCACCTGTGTCGGTTGGTCATAGCAGCGGATTGCGGCTAACCAAAGCTGCACAGTTTTCACAAAGCTTGCATCACAGCTCGATGCCGACAAATTCAGCGAACTGGGCATCATCCCCGTTATCTTTGTCGTGATGACCATTGTGTCGTATTGTGTATCCGTCACCGTGTCTAAGCTTTTCGGGTTCAACAAGCGCGCCTCCAACTTTGTGACTGCTATGGGCGTAGGTTCCATCTATATGCCGCGTCTAATTCAACCTGTTTTTGTCCCACTTACTAAGACTGCTCGTGATTAGGTGTTTGGCAACTCCAATTCGCTCCCTATCTCGCTGGTGCTCTCTCTGTCTCAGACGCTGAAAGGCCTTCACTGGGACAAGATTCCCGGCGACAACGACGACGAGGTTGGCGCTCGTGGCATCCTGTACCTGATGATCTTTCAGCAGCTTGGCCAGCTTGTGCGGTGGAGCTGGGGATACCACGTTCTCCTGGCTCCCAAGTCCAAGTACGAGGAGTACGCCCAGGCCACAGCCGAGGAAGGCCGCTACCGCGACTCGATCGACTCGGACACCGCAGTTGACGGCCGCCCAACGCTGCTTATCAACGACAGCACGAACACCGGGGAGGAAGACGTTCCCGATAGCCCCACCAGCGACACATTCTCGTTCGAACCATCCGGTCGGACGCCGGTAGCTCCGCGCTCGCGCGCCTCCATTTCCGAGACAGATGCAGACGACGACGACACTCACAGCCAGAGTCAGTTCTCAACGAGGAAGCGGAGTCCCCGATACAATGGCCACGGCCTCCCCGACGGCATCATGTCCTTCCCGCGCATCCACAGCGTCACCGATGCAGACACTCCGTCGGGCATGCACGGCCTCCATGCACGGCTCCTGCGCCGTGGCCAGAAAGCATCCGAGGACATGGCGAGCAGGCTGAACACGACGTTTGAATCTCTGCCTCCCTCTGTGCAGACAGTGCTGCAGGCGATCCAGCAGATCTGGCTTCGTGTCTATAACTTCCTCTGGGACTTTATGAACCCGCCCCTGTGGGCCATGCTCATTGCGGTTGTGGTTGCCTCATTCCCGAGCCTGAAGCAGCTTTTCTTTGCCGAGGGGTCGTTTTTCAAGAACAGCGTGACGAGCGCCGTGTCGCAGAGTGCCGGCGTGGCCGTGCCTATCATCCTGGTGGTTCTCGGCGCCAATCTGGCGCGCAACACGCAGAACCCGACGAGCAACGACGCGGAGGAGGCCCAGATTGGGAAGAAGCTGCTTATCGCCTCGCTGATCAGCCGCATGCTGCTGCCGACCCTGATCATGGCGCCGATCCTGGCTCTGTTTGCCAAATACGTGCCGATTTCTATCCTGGACGACCCGATCTTTGTCATCGTCTGCTTCCTGCTGACAGGTGCGCCGAGCGCTCTGCAATTGGCGCAGATCTGCCAGATCAACGGCGTGTACGAACAGACCATGTCCAAGGTGCTCTTCCAGAGCTACGTCATCTGGATCCTGCCGTCGACGCTGATTCTGGTGCTGTGTGCGCTGGAAGTGGTGGAATGGGCGAGATGAGCAGTTTCCTGCTAGTCGCCCCCGGCTGTCTGGTTTACGCTGTAGGCTCACTCAGATTGGCACTGCAGCCTCTCGTACGATTTAATCTTCCAGTTTTGATTTCCGGGTTCTGTCTTTATGGGCCTGTTCATTCTGCGTCCGCATCCTTGGCGTTGGTGTTATTTAGTCCTTCCGGGCTCGGGCTGTTTTAGTTTGTTGGTTTCTGGGGTTTTCATGACTTAGGGTTCACCTAACGGCGACATAGCTTTGCGGGTGGCAAGCGACACGAGGCTGACGAAGGATAATTGTAGCTTCGACAACGGGCACGGAGAATGTAAGAACAGCCACCAAGTCGTGCCTCGTGATCCTGCCAACAGTACATATATTATGGCCCAACCGGTGTCTGTTCCTCTCTATAGGAACAAAGAACATGTGAAGAATAAGAAAGTGTTTCCGAGACGCCAGTTGCCAGCCGGCTCTAGTGACCTCCGATGATGCCGTTGGCGGCGGGACTGGTCTGCAAGCCTGGCGCCGGCGCCAGCACCCAGTCGCGGACTTGGCCCTTCCAGTCGCTGATGCGGACGTCGTGGATGTGGACGACGATGACGCGCACCTCCTCGCCGGCGACGAAGCGGCTGCTGCCGTTCTCGGGCCGGGGGTCTGCGGCCGTAGACGTGCCGGCGCGGGCAATCTGCTGATGGATGCGGCGCTCCTGCGGGCCGACGGGATCGGCATCAAAGGTGTTGTTGGCGAGGTGCTGCTGACGATAGTAGGCCTCCTCGGGCGAGCCCTGCGGTAGCACGCGGGCGGTACCGTTGATGGTGGCCGAGATGGACGAGACCGCGGCCGTGTTGAGATTGAGCAGGAGCGTCGCCAGGCTGGACGGCTCCGGCGAACCGCCGCCACTACCATTACCACCAGCACCGGCACCGGGGCTGCCGCCACTGCCATCGTCCATGTTGCTGTCGGTCGACAGGCGGCGGGTCAGCGGCCGGTGCGAGACCCAGTCGTGCACCAGCAGAGACACGTTTGGGTTGGCCACAATGTTGTGGGTCTTCTTGCTGGCCGGATTGGTCGTCATGGCGATGACCGGACTGGCCTCCGGCAGATAGGTGTAATTCATGAGTGAGACGTGCGGCACGTTGTTCACACACGTGGCCAGGTGCAGCTAAGCCAACAGGACCGAGGTCAGATCAAAGGAACAAAAGACGGGAAGACGCAGGGTCTTACAAATCGGGCATTCTCCAAACATTGAACCACCTCGGTGGGCAGAGAGGCCGTCGTCTGCTTGTTGGTGTCGCCGTCAGAGGCCTCGTAGTTTAGGGGAATCTGCTCCATTGAGGAAGAGGCGTGTTGTTTGTGCAATTGGAGCCGTGGTCAGGTTTGGTCAAGCAGGGCGAAGCTGTTGCATAGTAGTCAGGCGACCATGCTGGAAAAAGAGACTGCGTGGGGCAATGCCTATAGCGGGGTATCAAGGTGACAAACACCTGTTAGGCGAATATAGGGCGGCACATGACGTCAGAGCACGCAACGACGCAGTGGGAGCTTTAAGTGTGCAGTGCTGTGTCCGAGGCAGACGAGCATGGTCTGTCAGACAGCACGGGTCGTGAAGCCTAGTCGTGTTTCGTGTTTTGCTCCGACCTCAAAGCCCTGTCGGTGCTGGAGAGGGACTTTACCCCGTATTTTGGCGTACCCCATGTTTATTGATCGTCTGTGACGGCCTTCCCCGTTTTACTAGCTCGGCTGCGGCTACCTTCGGCATGCAACCGACATATGCAGCGAGGAGGGGAGACACAAAAGCGAAAAGCTGAGAGATCGCTCCTGCCGCTGGTGAGCTCCCAAACATCACCGCCTCGACTTTCCTCTTCTTCCTCTCCAACAAGATAACGACGACATGCGACCTCTCAAGCGAGCTGCACACGTCCGGCTGCCATTGCGGCACCCAATGCGGCTGCTGGCCACAACAGCAGATTCGCCCTCACCAGCGACAGGCCCGGTCGGCTCTCTGCTCATTGCCAACCGCGGCGAGATCGCCTTGCGCATCCACCGTACTGCCACGCGCATGGGCATCCCGACCACGACGCTGTACACGGCAGTGGACGCAACTGCACAGCACGCCCGAGCATCACCTCGCAGCTTGGCATTGGGCTCGTATCTGGATGGCGACAAGATCATTGCGCTGGCACTGCAGCACGGTATCCAGGCTCTGCACCCGGGCTATGGCTTTCTGTCGGAGAACGCAGCGTTTGCAGAGCGCTGCGCAGCTGCGGGCATCACGTTCGTGGGTCCGCCAGCACAGGCCATGGCCGACATGGGCGACAAGGCACGCAGCAAGGCCATCATGCTGGCAGCCGGAGTGCCGTGCGTGCCCGGATACCACGGACCGGACCAGGCCCCCGAGCAGCTGGCGGTCCATGCGGCCAAGGTCGGCTATCCGGTGCTTCTCAAGAGCGTGCGTGGGGGTGGCGGCAAGGGCATGCGCATCGTGCAGACGCCAGACGAGTTTGAGGCGCAGCTGCGCAGTGCACGGGCAGAGGCGCGGGCCAGCTTCGGCGACGGCGGTGAGGTCATGCTGGTGGAGCGGTATATTGTGCGGCCGCGACACGTCGAGGTGCAGGTGTTTGCGGACAAGCACGGCACTGCCGTCGCTCTGGGCGAGCGTGACTGCAGCATTCAGCGGCGCCACCAGAAGATCCTGGAAGAGTCGCCAGCTCCAGACCTGGGCGACGACCTGCGCCACGACCTGTGGGACCGAGCTCGCACGGCTGCGCTTGCGGTGGGTTATGTCGGCGCTGGCACGGTCGAGTTCATCCTCGACCGCGACACGGGCGAGTTCTTCTTCATGGAGATGAACACGCGGCTGCAGGTCGAGCATCCGGTCAGCGAGCTCGTCACTGGCACAGACCTGGTCGAGTGGCAGCTGCGCGTAGCTGCTGGCGAGCCGCTGCCGCTGATGCAGGACGCCATTGAGAAGCGCATCAGAGATCGCGGCCATGCTATCGAGGCGCGCATCTATGCCGAGAACCCGGAGCGCGACTTCATGCCGGACTCGGGCTGCCTCGTACATCTGGCCACGCCGGCCGTGCAGCCTGTTGGCACCAACAACGAAGAGGCTGACGTGCGCATCGACGCCGGCTTCGTGCAGGGCGACACGGTGTCGGAAGCGTACGACGGCATGATTGCCAAGCTGATCGTGCGCGGTGCCGACCGCAAGCAGGCCATCCGCAAGCTGGAGCTCGCCCTGGAAGAGTACGAGGTGGCCGGACTGCACACCAACATTGAGTTTCTCAAGCGGCTGTGTCGGTCGCCTGCGTTTGTCGCCGGCGACGTCGAGACGGGTTTTATCGATAAGTGGCGCGACGAGTTATTGGCGCCGCGCGCCGTGGCCGACGAGACGTATGTGCAGGCGGCTCTGGCCTTGTTTGTAGCTGCACGGCCCGGCGGCTTGGCCTGCAGCTTGCACGGCCAGCCGCTCGGATTTGGTGATGCCGGTGGCGGTGGTACGGCTGAACGTAGCTTCGCCTTTGAGGTGGTGGACGCCTACAGCGACCGAGCCGGCGACGTGGTGGAGGTAGCATTGACGCAGACAGGATGGCAGCGGTTCCGGGCGCGGGTGTGGTGGCGGGACAACAAGTCGGGCAGTGTTACGTACGATGATGTCTTGCTGGATTCATCGGCCGTAGAGCACAGACAGGCAGATACCACGGCGACAACCACGACCACCCGGCTGACGGCCTTTTATCCCACGACGCGCGCAACGTCCACAGTGGTGCAGCAGCAGCTGCAGCAGCAGGCAGAAGACATTGGACCCGTGCAGCTGACCGTCTTCCAAGGCGGCACCAAGACGGAGCTCAAGCTGGCTCCGCCGGCGTGGTACGCAAAAGTGCGTGGGACCGACGAGTCGGCCGGGCTGTCGGTGGTGGCGCCAATGCCGTGCAAGATCCTGCGCAACGAGGTGTGTGTGGGCGAGACGGTCGAGAAAGGGGCTCCGCTGGTCGTGTGAGTTATGTTTTCGTCTTTGTCTTTTGTTTTTCGGCTTCTTTTCTGCTGCCTGTGACATCTGCTGACAATCGGCAGCATCGAATCGATGAAGATGGAAACGGTCATCCGGTCGCCGCAGCAGGGCATCGTCAAGAAGCTGGCACACAAGGAGGGCGACATCTGCAAGGCAGGGACGGTGCTGGTGCTGTTCGAAGAGGCTGAAGAGGCCGAGGAGGCCAAGTAGAACTGGCCAGCAAGCAAAGCTGGAGTGAAATGAGGGATACGGGGACAAGGCTCTTGCCAATCGAGCGTGTTACAAGGTCGTGCCTTCCGGCGACATTTTTTTTACAATAAATAAATCAAACGCTCCTTCCTTGTGGAAATCAAATCTATTCGTACATTCGACATCGCCTTTATATACCCGTTATGCCAATCCATCTCTAGTCCCAGGATATCGAACCAAAATCACTGACGCCGTTTCCATGCTGTGCGCCTCGATGCAACTTATGGCCGTGCCATCTCGCTAAGCGATCGCGGCCAGCCCGGCGGCGATGCCGTCTAGGCCAAAGCCGGCAAAGCCCTCCTCGACAGACCAGGGCTGTTCCGGGTCGAAGTCGGCGCCGTGCAGCACGTTGCAGGCACGGCCGACGACGAGCAGACCGGGTGGCCGGCTGCCCTCCTGTTCGATGGCGGCGGCGACGTGTGCGAGCGTGGTGCGGATCACCTTCTGGTCGGGGCAGCTGGCCCGCTCGACCACGGCACAAGGAGTGTCGGCCGGCCAGAGGACGCGATGCTGCTGTGATCCAGATTCAGCTTCAACATCCGTCAGAGCAGTCAGCTCGGCCACGAGCCCGCCGATCCGGTGCAGCGCCATCAGAAAGACGGTCGTGCGCGACGGCCGGTAGCCGGGTGGCCGGGGGGTGGCACCCTTCTTGCCGGTGCCGGTGCAGATGAGCACCTGATCGGCGGCATCGCGATGTGTCGGCGGAATGCTGGCAAACAGCGGTGCCGACAGGGCACTGGTCACGCCGGGCAGCACGACAATCGACGCGTCAGCAAAGCCGGCCGCTCGCAGCCGCAAGACCTCCTCGCCGCCACGGCCGTACACAAACGGATCGCCTTGCTTGAGCCGCAGGACCACGCGACCAGCACGGGCACCGGCCACGGCAGCTGCCACCAGCTCGTCCTGTGCCGCCTCCGCGTTGCCCGGGAACTTGCGCGCAATAGACACCTCTGTGTGGCGTGGGATCAGGTCCAGCACGCCCTGTGGCACCAGCTTGTCCGCCAGCACGAGGTCAGCCGACAGGATCGCCTGGTGCACCGCGCGCGTCAACAGGTCTGGATGGCCTGGTCCTGAGCCGGCCAGAATGATGGTGCCAGTCGAGGCGGACGTGGCCGGGGCCGTTCCGTCGACAGTCCGGTCGTCAGACACAGTCTCGCTGTACGCCTGCAGCAGCGCGTCGACGTCGGCGGCACTCACGCCCGCCAGCCGCTTCAAGGGCCAGTACTCGCACATCTGGGCAAGCCAGCGCATCCGTCGCGTCCGGCTCGCGTCCACGTCGGTCTCTGAGACGAGCCGATTAAACGTGGCGCTCTGGTCTGGCGTATCGTCCGTGTCTGCCGCATTTGTCACGCCAGGCGCTGCTGGCACGGCAGCAGCCACCACCTCTCCTCGGTCTTCAGCTTGAATCTGCCTCCGCAGTAAACCCAGCCGGGCACAGGCGTCACCCAAGCCGGCCGGCAGCGATGCTGCCACCTCGCGGCGGATACGTGCTGCCAGCCGACAGCCGCTACCGTTGGTGGTCACGCCGATCTGCAGCGGCCCATCGGTGTACGTTGACAACAGCGCAAACGAGCACAGCCGCGGCTGGTCCGTGACGTTGACCGGGATGCGATGGCGGCGACAGAGGCCGGCAATGTGGCCGGCCAACGTCTGGTCCGACGATGTGGGTGCATCCTCGGTGACAAATACAGCGTCGACAACATGGCCAACATCAGCGCGGCCAAGCGTAAAGAGCTGCTCGTCCTGGAACGGTGCACGAACCCAGGGCACCGAGCCCGCGTCGATGTGGCGCTGCAATGCGGCCGGAAAGACGCTCTTTCCGGGTACCGGGGCCACGAGCACCGGGATTGCGCCGACTGCGAAACTCTGGCCGCAGCGTGTGGCTGCTAGTGGGTTTGCGCCGACGATCAGGTGGACATGAGCACGGCTGTCGACGGCCGTCAGGAAGGAGGTGTGATAGGCCATGGTGGGGAGGAAGGGGATAGAGAGAGGAGAGGAGAGAGGGGGGAGAAAGGAGAGAGGAGAGAGGAAGCAGAGGGAGGAGAGAAGTAAGTGTGAAAATAGGTCAGAGAGGAAAGAGGAGGGGTGGTAGACAAGAATTGCTGCTTCTTTGCTGGTCCTCTTGTCGACTGCCTGTCCCAATCGTCTCAGTCACAGCACATACAATATGAGGCCTCTTCTAGCCACGGAAGCAGAGGTTTCCAATGCGCTCCATGGAATACAAGTAGTGACGATGTCTCCCTCATCGGCCGCGCTTTCTCCGGTTTTGCCTCCTGTCACCAGACAATAGCGCAACCGACCAATGACAGGCCTGCTGACAGGCCTATTTCGCACGCTGCTTGCAGCCACCAGACAACTTTTTTCGCACTAAAACTGACGCCATAGCTCAAGTGGGGGCACTGAGCCCGCGGAGATCTGCTTCCCCATGCATTTCCGCGTCCTGTTCCTTAATGCACGTGACCTGCAATGAGAGGCTATGGAATTGTGTACTCCGTACAGAGGTCGCTACCAAAAGTCCTTTCTGACCGCCTTAGACCCACAAATCTAAATAATGCCGGCAGAATTATTTGTTTACTTTTCCGTGCCGCTGCTGCCGCTGCTGCCGTCGCGCCTTTTGTTTTTTCTTACATCTAATTCATTATGCCTTTATACAATATTGCTACCCGGGCGCAGGCCCTTAGCTTAAAGCTATTCGGTGCTACGAATAATCAAATCGAAGCCTTTACTGGTATTTCTGCACGGCAGGTACATTGTTAAAGGTGTACTTGGGTAGGCCAGGTAAGTTAGGCAGGCAAGGAGGTATCTTCTTAACAGGAGGAAGCAGCCGTATATTCAATAGCTAATTCTTGCCTTCTGCACTCTAAGGGAGTGCGGGAGGCACTCTTTATCGTAGGCGCACCTCTGGCGCACCAAGTGCGCAGGACAGGCGCGACCCTGTTTCTACTTGGCCCGTGCGCTAGCACGTGCTGTGGCCTATGCGTAGACTGCGCCACGCAGCCTGCGCCACCAGCACCGCTTCTAGTTTACAATGTGCATCTAATACGCTGTGCGCATACTGTGTACGGCTTGCGCGTAGCCTGCGTTGGTCCTCTTCTTAGGGCGGCGTTATAATTGCTCCTCTCTTATGCCTAACTTCCTTAAGGTAGGTCTTAACGAAAGGCTTGTAACCTTTGTTCTTAGTAGTAGTAGTGCTTATCCGTTTGCGGCAGCTTTTTTATACTTGCTAAGATCGCTATTAAAGGCAACTTAAGGCGCCTTTAGTTCCTTCTTCTAGAAATAATAAATTTATCTTCTAGCAGCAATATAGCTACTTTTAATTCTAACGTTCCTATGCTTACGGTAAGCGCCTCTAGCGCTCTAGTACCCGCTACGGCCCTAGCCCTTACTCTCTAATACTCTTTACCCTCTAGCTAAAGTGCTAGTTCTAGCTGCGCGCAATGTACGCGTAAGGCTTATGCTAGCATAGTTTGTCGTTTAGCGTAGACTACGGCGCGCGCCGTGCCCCTAGTTAGGCCTTTAGTAGCCTGTTAAGGTGTAAGAGCTACCCTTGCTAGTTTAGCACTTCTAAGGTTAGTAGCGGCTATGCTACTAGCTTACCTTTAGGTTGCCTTAGATAGCTTGTTGTGCGTATAGTGCTTACACTACTTTCTAATAACTCTCTTTATAAAGTTGCCTAGGTTTATAGCTATGCTGTGTATTTATAGCGTTGCTAGCGCTAGGCGCTATAATAGCTGCCGTGCTAGCAAGCATAAGTATTATAGGGTAAGTCTTCTTTAGTAGCTATAAGCTACTCTAGTAGCTAATAGAATATAGGTTTTCCCGCTAATAGTTAGCAACTAGGCTAACTTTAAGATAGTACTATGTAGCCTTAATAAGAAGCTTTATAGCTAAGGTTTGCTTATAGTGCGCGCAGCACTTGTACATACTATAAGTGCTTTTATTACTACCTTATTATAGGTAGATAAGTAGTAGTAGCCTACGTTGCTAAGAGTGTTGTTAGCTACTAACATTATATAAGTAAAGCTTAATCTTTACTAGGGCATTAAGGCTTAAGAGAAGGCTTAAGAGGTAGCCTGCTAGATAGAGGCCTAATAGGCTTTATTAGCTTAAATACACTTACTATTGCTATATACGCTCTTTTTATCTTTGCTGCCTAGGCCTACTACTTTAACCCTTTAGCAACTCTTTATTAAAGGTATACTTAGGTAGGCTAGGTAAGTTAAGCAGGCAAGAAGGTATCTTCTTAACAGGAGGAAGCAGCCGTATATTCAATAGCTAATTCTTGCTTTTTACACTCTAAGAGAGTGTAGGAGGCACTCTTTATTATAGGCGCACCTCTAGCGCACTAAGTGCGCAGGACAGGCGCGACCCTTTTTCTACTTAGCCTATACGCTAGCACGTGCTATAGCCTGTGCGCAGACTGCGCTACGCAGCCTACGCTACTAGCACCGCTTCTAGTTTACAATGTGCATCTAATACGCTGTGCGTATACTGTGTACGGCTTGCGCGTAGCCTGCGTCAGTCCTTTTCCTAGGGCGGCGTTACAATTGCTCTTCTTTTGTGCCTAACTCCCTTAAGGCAGGTCTTAACGAAAGGTGTAAGGGTATTCTACACACGCGTCCCTACGCACCGGTTCGGCAACCAGTCGCTTATTAAGCGGCGGACTTAACGAACTATCTTGACACGTTGCACGGGACTAGCACAGCCACTTAGCTGCGCCACGCCCCACTAGGTTTGCGCTACACCGCATCTTCCAGCCACGTATATATTAGCTGGCAGGCCTTTGCCTACTAATCTCCTATAGTTCGTTAAGTTAAAGTCTTAATACAACAGTACAAACCAGTTAAGCCTTCGTAACCACGCATTGCACACCAGCCCCTTACAAAAGGCTTGCAACCTTTGTTCCTAGTAGTAGTAGTGCTTATCCGTTTATAGCGGCCCCTTTGTGCTTGCTAAGATCGCTGTTAAAGGCAACTTAAAGCGCCTTTAGTTTCTTTTATTTAAAAGGTTAGTCTTATAGTTAAATTAGATTATTATAGGGTTTAGCATCTAGTTACTTCTTCTAAAAACAATAAATTCGTCTTCTAGCAGCAACATAGCTGCTCTTAATTCTAACGTTCCTATGCTTATAGTAAGCGCCTCTAGCGCTCTAGTACCCGCTGCGGCCCTAGCCCTTACTCCCTAACACCCTTTGCTCTCTAGCTAAAGTGCTAGTTCCGGCCGCGCGCAACGTGCGCACGGGGCTTACGCTAGCATAGTTCGTCGTTTGGCGCGGACTACGGCGCGCGCCGTGCCCCTAGTTAGGCCTTTAGTGGCTCGTTAAGGTGTAAAAGCTGCCCTTGCTAGTCTAGCGCTCCTAAGGTTAGTGGCGGCTGCGCTACTAGCTTACCCCTAGGTTGCCTTAGACGGCTTGTTGTACGTGCGGTGCCAGCACTGCTTTCTAACGACTCTCCCTACAAAGTTGCCTAGGTTTACGGCCGTGCTGTGTATTTACAGCGTTGCTAGCGCTAGGCGCTGCGACGGCTGCCGTGCTAGCAAGCATAAGTGTTATAGGGTAAGTCCTCTTTAGTAGCTATAGGCCGCTCTAGTAGCTAACAGAATGCAGGTTTTCCTGCTAATGGTTAGCAACTAGGCTAACTTTAAGATAGTGCTGCGCAGCCTTAATAAGAAGCTCTACAGCTAGGGTTTGCCCGCAGTGCGCGCGGCACTTGCGCGTACTATAGGTGCTTTTGTTGCCACCTTGTTATAGGTAGATAAGCAGTAGCAGCCTACGTTGCCAGGGGTGTTGTTAGCTGCTAATGTTATATAGGCAGAGCTTAATCTTTGCTAGGGCATTAAGGCTTAGGAGAAGGCTTAAGAGGTAGCCTGCTAAGTAGAGGCCTAGCGGGCTTTATTAGCCTAAATACACTCGCTATCGCTATATACGCCCTTTTTGTCTTTGCTGCCTAGGCTTGCTGCTTTAACCCTTTAGCAGCTTTTTTAGCTACTACGCCTAATGCTTAGTAACACTAGTTATGCCGCCTTTACTGCAGCCTTTAATGCTTTTCTTAAGGCGATAGTAAGGGTATATATTATAAACAAGGTTTATACTAGGGTGGCGGCTAGCGTAGCGTTGCTTTAAAGGCTCTTTAGATAGTTTTGCGTAGTCTCTTATAAGGCCTTTTAGCTAGTTAAATTAATTTAGGCTTTTGCCTATATGTTTTTATCTTTACGCGCTTGCTGCGCGCATACCGCTTAATTGCTGCGTGCGCATTTTCTATATCTTTTTCCGGCACTTACTAGTTGTATTTAGTTAGCTAGTTTGTCTAATATACTAAGTATTTGGTCTAGCTAGCCTTGCGTCTCTTGTCTAAGACTGCTTTTACTTTCTATTTGTTGTCTAGGTCTTTTAACGCTAGCATTGTTAAAGGCGCTTGTTTTACGCCTACCTTACTCTTCTAGTACTTTAATAGTAAGACTAAGAAAACGTTATGCAGTTAGCTATATTGTTTTAGTAGTGCTAGTTAATATGCCTATTTGCCTATAGTCTTAAGGATTTTAAAGGGCTTAATGCGTCTTAGTGCTAACTTTTTATTTTTTAGGCAAAGGTTTTTTATAAAAAGGCTTACTAGCTCTCTTACTATAAAGCTTATAGGCTAGTAGCGCGCATTGTAGTAACGCTTCTAGCGCTTTATTGTATGCTCCTAGTTTGCTGCTAACCTTTTCTATATAGCTTTTAGTTTTTTTAAGCGGTTGTATACCGCTAAGACTGTGTTGCGCGTGTCCTACTTCTCTCTTATAGTTACGCTACCCTTAGGGCAAGTTCGCAGGTTTAGTTTCTAACTATATAGCGCTTTAAATAGGCTAATTTTAGTTATTACGTTAATAGCGTTGTTGTAAGCGTATTGCGCTAAAGATAACAAAAAGGGCTAATTTAATTGCTTCTTTGTTATAAAGCAGCGTAAGTATTACTTTAACGTCTAGTT